ATTGACTATAATTTTTTTTTTTTGGATATTTAAAATTGACTATAATTTAATATAAAACATTAGATCAACTTGGTTGTGTATTTCAAATTGGAGCGGTCAAACGTTTGATTTTTAATTATATAATATGGTACCGTTCATTTGTAAAATTTATTGGATTTCTTTACTATGAAGAAGATTTTTCGTTATATAAATTTGTATACAATTTTTTACAAAAACTAAATATAATAATAATAATATGTAAAATTTTGCATTCAAAATAATTTATAATTAACTACTAATTTTTTTTTACCGTAATATTAAATTTTGTTTCCTTTAGAGTGAACATCTTTTTTTAAGAACTAAATCTTCTTTATCTTTAGGCATGCTTCCTCTCAAGCCAATGAAGACCCTCTTTGCTTTCTGATGGATGCATTTGGCTCTTTTTCCTGGATTCAACTTGTTTGTTAAGAATGGATCACCTATTTTTTTATTTTATTTTTATTTTTTATGTACCCTTTTCTTTCCTTTGAGTATCCTCTCAACCCTTAACATGCCATTATATGCATCTGCTATATTTACTAAGTCAAATTCAGCTCCCGTGCCCGGTTTTAAATATCAATACATTTCCTTTTCAAAGATAAAAAGTAAGCAGTTTTCAAAAATTGTCTGCTACGTATGAATACGCAAGTCATGGAGCGCATGGGATAATTTGGGGGATAAGTTTGCAAGATTCGTTTTGTTTTTCCTCTGAGAATACACATTCATCGTCATCCAAAATACAACATAAATGTGCCTATACGTCATAGGCTATAACGTATAGCAGCCAAAAATATCTACCAACCATACTCGTATAGTATAATTGCAAAATTTTGATCACTCAACTTTTTTATATGCGTTTCTCCATTATCAAGCCAGCATGCCGGTCGTATGCTGCTGATTCATTAAGAAAAAATTCAATTAATCTTTCTTGTGTTTGCTAAGCCAAGCATGAAAAATCACTTCTTCATTTTTTTGTTGATAAAACAAAGTTATCCTCTGCGGGTGACAATCTTGTTCGGGACGGATTCAGGATTAAGACTTTAAATCCTTCCCAGATATGATACTAAGAAAAAATTTCTTTTGTTATCTCGTCAAATTTTTCCCAATTTTTTTTTTTTTTCTGTAGATAGGGCTGGATAATGCTTATGAAAAGTTCAAATGCATCTTCGGTACGACAGTAGGATCGTTCACTGGGTGTTGCTATAGTAATATAAATATATACTCCGGGGAGTATATAGTTATAATATTAAAGTTAATTTTTCTTTCTCTCCAATATACATTTAAGCTGATGTGTGATGTTATTATTGGTTAGATGTATCTAGGACCGTAGTATTATGAATTTTTCCAAAAAAAAGGTCAGGGTAATTGTAGGGAGTGAAGTTAGGGTGAATAATTACCCTACTCAAATTTAATAAACCTTCGTCTCAGGCTGCATTTAGATTTGAGAGAAAAGTAACATAGCAAAGTTTCTCCCCCTTCAAGCTCACCCTTCCAATTTTCATATTTGAGTCTTGAAAATAATATCGAAGAGCCGTCCCTCTTTTTTTTTTTTTGGTAAACAGAGCCGCCCTTAATAATATGAGTCAAGCAATATCCAAACTAGATTAAATCTAATCAGAAAACAAATAAAAAACACAATATAAAATCATCTCACTCAATAATCAAATTTCTATTTTTTATATAATAGTAAAATGTATTACAAAAAAGTAGAAGCTACAAATAGCCAACAGAATCTCAAATTGGAAGACTCGCGTTATCAAAATATTTATTATTGTTATTATTATTTTGATACATATTATTATTATTATTATTATTATTATTATTATTATTATTATTATTATTTTTACATTCACTACAAAGTTTTTAAATAAAAAATTTCTTAGCCTCAAGATTCAAACACTCACTTATTTAACTATTAATTGAAAAAGATTAAACAATATATTGCTTAAATGAACCGGTATTGATAATAATTCTAAAAGCAAAAAAGTAATACCTATTACTTTAATTTATTTAATAATTATCCTTAAATCTTGACTAATTTTGATTTAATTTAATCAAATTTTTATAATTGTATAACACTAGTCACCTATAAGAGCTGGTCATATATACATGGAAAACTTTTCTTGAAACGTGCTGTCAAATTTTTCTTTTGATTTTTATTGATACTTCTACAATTACACCATCGTCGTTATTTTATGGTTAAAAATTTGATTTCTTATCTTCTAGATTTTAGTGAAGTTAAACTGCTATAAATTTATTTATCAAAAAAAAAAAACTGCTATAAATTTGTTGGACCATAACTTCGAACAACCTTTTTATACCAATAATTTAGGATTACTAAATTAATAATATAATCCTCCAAGCCTTCATAGTAAGAAAATATTACGTACCCAACTACATTTGCTAGGATTTTTTCTTTTGAGGCGAGAGAGAGTTAACCACGTTAACTCCATAAGTTTGAACTGGAATGGTTGAAGTATGTAACAACTTTTTCAATTCGATTAAATTTTGATGTAATGATAGAGTTTTGTTGTAATTCTTAAAACTCCAATATAATAATCTTCTTAATATTTAATAAAATATTAAATAAAAAATGCAGTCAATATATTAAGAAAAACAATCATTGTTTAATATTTTTTATTTAGTAATTAGAGTAATTATTATAAGATATTAAAATTATTCAAAGTTTACCAACATAAAAAGGTAAATAGGAAGCAAGATCATGTAATGAGTCGATTCAGTATAGGGAGATCATATAATTTCTCTCCTGTCTCAAAAAATAAATAAAAAATGATGTACTTATGATTAGTCCATTATACATGACACAAAAATTGATTCAAGAAGTTTGGAGTCAACCAGAATTATAACTCAATAAACATAACCTGTATGTTCAAAGAAGCAATAATTTAAGATATTACAAATTATTGTTGAATCCAAGTCCAAATAAATCAATAATATGATTGTAATTTATTTGGACAAAAAAGAAAAACAACAAATTAGTCATGATTTGAAATTTAAGATTTAGAAGGTATTTTGAATGATTTAATTTTATTTATTTATTTATTTTTAGAAGGTAGTTATTCTTATATTTATTTTTAGAATTTTAAATTTTGAATTAATTTATAATTAATCTATAAAAATGATACTTAAGACTTTTACTGTAATAATTAAATTTTGTTATTTTGATAATTATAATTAAAAATAAATATATTTTTTTGTAAAATAATAATTTTCTGTTTAACCACATTTTTTACGTATTTAGCACGAAAGGAAAGGAAACAAAAGAAGAAAAAAAAGATACTGAAGTTACCGCGCATGCTCAATGCTTCATTTACCTATGACAATATAGTGGTAATATTTTATATTGACCATATATCAAAAGTAAAACTCTTTATTAGGCTAATTTTCCAAGTATATCAAATGTATCTTGAAGAGATATAATTAATTTCACAAAAAAGAGTCTTACAATAATATTTAAAAAATAAAGGCCTCCATAACTGCAATAATTAAAATTTATGAATTAACTTGTTCAATAAATTAAAAAGGACGGTTATATTTATTATTATTTTAAGTTCTTATCTCTTATTTAGTTATTGTTAGATTAATTTGAGATCAACCGATAATTTTTTTCTTTTTTTTTAACCATTAATTTCAAATTGATACAGAAATAACCAATTAGGAAGTAAAAATGATATTTTCCTAAAATAAATAGGGTAAATTATTTGTTCAGCATACAATTCCAAAATAAATATTTTCTTAAAAATTTAGAAAAAAGTATTTCTTCCGTCACTGAAATTATCTCTAGTAAACTCAAAACGACATCGTTTAGAAATTATAAGATTAAAAAATTATAATGACAAAGACTAATATAATCCAACAATATATTAGAATTACAAAAATACCTTGATTTTCCCTCACCAAATGTAACTTATCTCTATTGAATGAAGAAATCTTTTACCGTAAAATTTATTGGAGAAGGATATTGTAACAAGCAATTAGTGTTACTACCAATATTATTACCAAGTAATTTCACCGTCAGATCGATTACGTTGATCCAGGAGTTATATTTATTTTCTTCTTTGTATGATTATGATTTCTCTTATTTAATATTTTATATTTATTTACTTATGATTTTTCATATTTAATATTTTATATTTATTTTTATATGATTATGATTTTTCATATTTAATATTTTTGCATTAAATATGAGAAATCATAACCATACAAAAGTGAAAATAAATATAATCATTGAATCAATATAATCGATCTAACAATAAAATTGATTAATAGTAACAGTAATTAATACTAATTAATTTGTTAGAATATCATACTCCAAATTTATTAGCAAAAGTATACAAAAGAATTAAAAATAAGACAGAGAGCGCCTTATAGAAGAAACAGGTGTGCTGAACCTTGATGAAGCAGAGGGTACATAACACACTGACAAAACTGCAAAGAGATCCTCACATTTCTACTTATATATTAGAGAGAGAGAGTGTGTGTCTGTGAGTGTGAGAGAGAGAGAGAGAGAGAGAGGGAGAGAGAGGGAAGAGAGCGAGATAGTGTTTGTGTGAGCTTAGCTGGACTAGGCGGGATTACCGGTGGTCAACCCAACCGGTGCATGATACGGTGTTAGCTCCCATTCCCTGCCTCAGCCTCTGTCCTAACCCATTAACCTCTCTGCACTTTTGTGACCTCTTCCCTTCGCATGCAAATTTTGCTTCACCAACCATCATTACTTGAAAAAGACCGTGCCTTTGTTATTCATTCTCATGCCAGAAGAAGAAGAATCCACCTAGCTACTGTCATATTCTTCCCCCATAGATGTAATATCTTTAGTTTAACCATTCTCTCTCCAATTTGTTATTTTTATTTCAACCCACCATATTAATAATATCTTTCTTTCTTTTTTATTTTATTTTTCTCCAAATTTAAAAATTTCACTTTTCCCTCTGTCTTCAGTCAACTAAAGGATTAAGAGGGAGGGAGTAGGTAGAGATTCTGATAGAGAAGAAAGGAAAACACAGAAAGCGATACAGATTTGTAATCAAAAGTCTCGAGGAAGAATAGAATCCTTCTGATTCAGGTAAGACTTGTTTGGTTTGGTTTAATTTTTTTAATTTTTTTATTTTCTCTGTGTGGTTATATTGGAAAGTTAAAGTAAAATACTTTTTAAAAGAGAGAAAAATTAAAATGAATTGTTGTGTATTGGGTATCTCTAAATTGTGATTACAGACAAAGACACATGTTTTGAGAGGAAGATGTGAATGGTTGGATCTTTGGGTCAGCGCTGATAAGACAATACATGAGGATGGATCGGGGAAGCATAGTGTGGTTTGGGTTCTTGTTCTTGTTGATGTTTGAGTTCACAATGGAGCAGATTGAGCCACTGAGTTCCGACATTGAGCGAGCAGCACTCCTCGAATTAAGGCATTCTCTGGGGTTGAGGAGCAAGGAATGGCCAATAAAGCCAGACCCTTGTTTAATGTGGATTGGTATAACCTGCCAGAATGGTCGAGTTGTTGATATCAATATCTCTGGCTTTATAAGAACAAGACTGGGGAGGAGAAACCCACAATTTGCCGTGGATGCCTTGTCCAATTTCACTCTCTTGCAGTCCTTCAATGCCTCCAATTTCCTCCTTCCTGGTCCTATTCCTGATTGGTTTGGTCTCAAACTCCCTTCACTCCTTGTGCTTGATCTTCGTTCTTGCTCCATCATTGATGCTATTCCTTCCACTCTTGGCAATTTAACCAACCTCACTAGTCTCTATCTTTCTGATAACCATCTTACTGGGACAGTTCCTCATAGTCTTGGTCAACTCTTTGCCCTTTCGGTTCTTGATCTTTCCCGGAATTCTCTAACTGGGTTCTTACCTGCGTCCTTTGCCTTTCTTGAAAATCTTTATTCCCTTGACATGTCTGCAAATTTGTTGTCCGGGCCGATTCCCCCGGGTATAGGATCCCTTTTAAGGCTACAGTACTTGAATCTTTCCAACAATGGCCTAACTTCTTTACCTGCACAATTGGGAAGTCTTACTAGCCTACTTGACCTTGATCTTAGTGCAAATTCTTTCTCTGGTGGAGTGCCTCCGGATTTCAAAGGGTTGAGTAACTTGCGGACAATGATACTTGCAAACAATATGCTCAATGGACCCCTGCCGGGGAACTTGTTTACTGCTTCAACGCAGTTGCAGCTTGTAGTGCTGAGACAAAACAATTTTACAGGTTCTTTGCCTGTTGAGTTGTGGTCTCTGCCAAGATTGACCTCCCTCGATGTGTCTGCCAATAACTTCAGTGGTCTGCTTCCCAATTCTAGTTCCACTGCTAATACTACTGTTGCCGTGCTCGATATTTCTAATAATATGTTTTATGGAAACCTCACTCCGGTGCTCAGAAGGTTCGTTCGCATCAATCTTTCAAAGAATTATTTTGAGGGCAAGGTTCTGGATTTCATGCTTGATGTATCTCTAGAGATCAACTGCCTTCAAAGCGTGGCAAATCAAAGGACAACAACGGACTGTGCAGCATTTTATGCAGATAAGGGCCTCAATTTTGATAATTTTGGAAGCCCAAATTCTACAGAACCTCCTACCTCTGGGAAGAGCAGTAAAACTAAGGGCATATTGGCAGGAGTCTTGGGTGGACTGGGTTTATTTGCACTTTTAGTGTTGCTTCTGTGCATTCGTAAGAGGGGTAATTCAAATCAAAGGCGAAATGGTGTGGGCCCTGCTCCTGCTGGAGGGAGTCCTCCACATCCCACTGTATCAATCAACTATCCAAAAGTTGGAGACTCATTTACATATCATCAGTTGCTCCAGGCCACAGGAGATTTCAATGATGCAAATCTTATCAAACATGGCCACACTGGGGATTTCTTCAATGGAGTTTTGGAAAGTGGGATTCCTGTCGTCGTCAAAAGGATTGACATGCGATCAACTAAAAAGGATGCTTACCTATCGGAATTAGACTTCTTCAATAAGGTTTCTCATCAAAGATTTGTTCCCTTTTTAGGTCATTGCTCAGAAAATGAGAATGAGAAGTTCCTGGTATATAAATATCTGCCAAACGGGGACTTGTCTAATTGCTTATACTACAAAAACACTACATCTGAAGATGGTAGTTTGCAGTCACTGGACTGGATAACTAGGTTAAAAGTTGCTACTGGAGCAGCAGAGGCCCTATCGTATTTGCATCATGAATGTGTTCCACCCATTGTTCACAGGTATTTCTAGATTTCCTTCTTCCTGGTTTTTTATTTATTTTTTCTATATTGTTTGCTGTAAAAAGTCATTATGTTGTGAAACCTGATATGATACCTGATTTAATTAACTATAAACTCTTCTCAACGATTCATTCCTACATCCCTGGATGCATTTTGTGAAGGGTTCAAAGATTCTGATTGGTCCTCTTTACATCAATAAATATGTGTATTGATATCCATAGAAGTTTGAAATATATGGCCAAGGTTACTGTTTAAATTCCGGTGTTTGTTTCTATATATTTTAGGCGATTAAGTGCAATGTTTACTGTCATAAATATTGGCATTTGTTTCGATATCTTTTAGGTGATTAATTATAAATTTCCCTTGTGACTGGATTGTCATTACTATTGAGTATGACTATCCACTTTCTATATAATGGAGCTGAGAAAGATAGGAAGGTTGGAACAAGTTCAACTTGTCGGTGTATTCCCTCTAATTGATTAAGCCATCTTGACCCTGCACGAAATAAATAAATCACAAGTTTACAAAACAAAAGTTCAAGCTAAATGGTGTGCTAGTAGTGACAAATCTATCTTCTAATTATTGTAGAGATATTCAAGCGAGCAGTATACTTCTAGATGATAAATATGAAGCACGGTTAGGGAGTGTAAGTGAAACCTGTGTTCAAGAAGGCGATACTCATCAAAGTAAAATCACCCGGTTTCTGCGGTTGCCTCAGTAAGTACTCCACTAACAATGTATTTAATGAATCTCATGAAAATTATGTCTGACAGGTCATTCATTATGCATTGACAATATTGTGCTTTGTTGGACACAATCCTTTAGGCTGTTTATTGGAAAATGCTTATGCTTTGAAATTTGAACTTATCTACGGTACGGCTTTTAGAATTATTTATGTATTTTAGACGTGTCATCTTGTCTTTTTGTGTGTGTTCGTGTGCGATCTTTAATAATGGATGTTATTCATTTGGTTTTCATAATCACTACATCAAACTTTCGTAATGGACATTTTTGGTCTTTATAACTATGAAACCTTTTTTCCCTTTAATTTCTTTCACATTTCAGCCACTATTTTATTGCTTTGTCGTTAAGTTACATTATGAGTTTTTGACAAGTTTTATATGCCATAGTTGCAAATGCATATTATTTGTTATAAAAACATTTATCTAATTTCTCATTTCTATTTTTCAATGTGTAGGTCCTCTGAACAAGGCACATCTGGTAAGTGGAAACTCAAGTTTAGTTTTAAGGCATGGATTTGTAGTCAGTTCCTATGCCTTCGGGGAGTGGATCCTAACCATTTATGAGTAAATCAGCGGTGATGATTTTGTTACTCCCTATTCTAATATTTTTCTCTCTCATCTCTCGTCACCATTTATTTGTTCATAAGTGGTTAAGATCCTCTTATATATGGTCATGTTAACTAACACATGAGAGGATCCATTCCCATGCCTCGGTTGCTTGCTTGTCTATGCCATTCAAACTTTCCCTCTTACACATATTTGGTGCATGTTTGGATGTGCTTAATTTTTAGGAGAAAATTGCTTTTTCTTTTCAAAAGCTCTGTTACTAAGATTTGGGTTACAAGCTATTTCGGACACAAAATAAGCTAATCCGAATGCACACTTGGTGCATATTTAGTAACAGCTTTTTTTGGGGAAACAATCACTTTTTTTATTTCATAAACTCGCTCAAGAAGTACCCCAAAAAAGAGATTTGGCTCCAACATAAGTTAATCCAAACTGTGGGAGCACTTAATTTTGTACAGCAGACACTGTTATCTATAAGTTGGTAGATAATGGTGTTTTAGATGTGGTCATAAATCTCAGAGTAAAAATGGGAGCATTAATGTCATTCTGACAAAAAAGTTCTGGGCATCTACAGTAGAAAGGGAACATTATTGTCTTTACCACTTCTTCCTGGTAGTCTCGTGCTAGCAAAATGCATTTTCAGAGACAGCAGCAAGAAGTTACGATTATCTATAATTATGAGATATTCCTCTTCCTGAAGTAGTTAAGTGGTCAAGATATGCGGGTGATTATGCATGTATTGGATTCGTGTTAGTGTGAGAAGCTATGCGTGTATTGGATTATGCATATTTTTATGAATAATTTGTTTTAGATTATTGAACTGTTGGGTTCTTTTTATATGCTTATAGTAATTCTGTTTTCCTCTTTTTCGACTCAAGATGTGTATGGAGGTGGGAAAATAGATGTGGATCCAGGAGGAGAAATAATTCTTTCAATCTATTATTTTGACAAAAACTTTGTTTACTGTAAAAACAGGTTCATCAACATCAGCTTGTGCCTATGACATTTATTGCTTTGGGAAAGTGTTACTTGAGCTGGTGACTGGTAAGCTGGGAATTAGTGCATCCAGTGATGGTGAAATAAAAGAATGGTTCGATCAGATTCTACCTTGCATTAGTATGTGTGACAAGGAGCTCGTGACAAAAATTGTTGATCCGTCTCTGGTTGTTGATGAGGATTTCTTAGAGGAAGTGTGGGCTATAGCCATTGTTGCCAGGTCTTGCCTAAATCCCAAACCTTCAAGAAGACCCCCAATGAGATACGTTCTCAAGGCTTTGGAAAATCCTGCAAAAGTTGTGAGGGAAGAAAATTCCGGCTCTGCACGGCTTAAAGCAAGCTCTTCCAGAGGCTCTTGGAATGCTGCTGCTTTTGGTAGTTGGCGTCAGAGTTCATCCGATGTAACAGTAATTCCAATAGCCTCTAGCACAATGCTAGAAGGAACTAGTAGCTCAAAGCTTTCAGGAACTACCAGCTCACGATCACAGGGTAGCATCCACAATGGTGGGTGTGATAGTTCATCACCTCGGAGACGTCAGCCAAAAGAGACATTGCCAGAGCCATCTGGCTTACATGATGTAGAGGGGCGGAAGCAGGAATAGAGGCTTAAGTCTTAGATTTCTTTCGGTAATTATACTGCTCCTTTTTTCTTCTTGTTCACTTAATAGTACCCCTTATGCTCTTATTGTTTTGGTCATTCATTTCTTGGGTATTTGGAATTGGAAAGTGCTCATTGTACATTTCAGCAGACAAAGTGGCACTCAATTCCTTGCACACTCTATCATACCTTTCAAAGGGGGTGATTGTATTTCTTTTTAGTGGTTTTGAACTCAAAAAAAATGGTGGAGAGATAGATGTAGAGAGCGAGAAGGCCAAGTGCTGTGGTAGATATGGATACTTCTTTGATTGCTTGTTTTGAACTAAACAAGCTGCAATTTTTTCCCTTGTAATAGATTTTCTTTTTTTTTAACCCCTTGTCTCGAGTCGTCTAGTGTATTGTAAATTTTAATATGTCAGTTTCTTCATTCCGATCATATTTGTTGTTATTGTGGTAAAGAAAAAGAGACAGCTTCAAAATTTGAAATAATGAAAAAGAAACAGATTATACCGATTCTTATGGCGCTGAATCAATTTGTTGTGGCTTTGGAGTTAAGAGCAATTAACTTTGTTCAATATTGTTGGTATGCATACACTATGTATGCAGATTATAATTTATCAAATAACATAAAACTACATAAATTAAGTAGTTTGGATTTATTCAAACTGTTTATTTCAAATGAATATCTTTGGCGAAAATTCTTTATGACGTTCTCGGTGGGTGCTAAAAGCCTCGATAAGTTACACTGTCACTCACAATAATAAACAAACATACATACATTATAAAAATGGGGAGAATTTCCTATAAAAATATCGTTGAACCGTTGATGTATAAAAAAGGTCCCACCGAGATTTGAACTCGGGTTACTGGATTCAGAGTCCAATGTCCTAACCACTAGACCATGGGACCTTGTTGTGCGGTGGGGCAATGAAAATTTATATATTACTTATTTCATCCCTTCTTGTTCTTTTGGATACATATGCGTCTGTCTGTCTCTCTTCATTTTAAAAAAACGCAATTTTTGTTATCAAAAAAAAAAAAAAAAAACGCAATTTTTGTAATATTAATAGCATACAAATCATATTGGTTTTGATATTACATTGATTTAAGTACCATGAGTCCGTGAGGACGAACTTACGTGCACTTGATTAACCCATCTCTCAAGTGGTATTATTGATATTGTTTTAACGCTATCTATCTTTTTATAAATAGAATTCCCCAATATTTGTTTTCATATTTTTTTAATTATTATTATTGATTGATCCAAGATATGTTGGGCATGACCACACATTATTGAATTTGGTCCAAATGGTGCCTGAATTTGGTCCCAATGTATGTGTTTGGATGCATGTTGCTCTCGTGTGCACGTAATTTCTTAATCTTTTGGTTATTTTGGGATTTTGCCCCACCCAATTTATAAAAAAGAGAGAGTAAGAGTTAGAAAAAAAAAGTCCAAAATAATGAATTTTTTTAAGCCAATATTTCTGTCTTTTAAAAAAAATTATCTTTTACTTGAAAGTAGTTCTTTAACACTTAAAAATAATTTTTAGATATTAATTCAAATGAAAAAAGTGTTTGCCAATTTTTATTTTTATTTTTTAAATAAGTTTTTCCCAAAAAACAGTAAACTACAAAAGTAAGAGGAAGCATCCTTTAACAAGAGTTCCCTCTAAGGCTTTGTTTGGGAGTTGGTTTTAGGAGGGAAAGGAAAGGAAATGGAGGATTTTTTTTTGTTTGTGAGTATAAACAAATGAGGGGAAGAAATTGAGGATTTTTACTAAACTCTCATTTTTTCTCAAAATTAAAGTTCCCCCAAATTGGGGGTTTTGAAGGGAAAAATATTGAAAATTACTTATCTACCCTTAGCATTAAAATGTGAATCATTTTTAAATGTGACATTATTAGAAAAGTCTCAAACACCGAAAAAATTTATCGACGAAAAATATTTCATCAAAAATAGTGATGACATTTTTGATGAAAATCATATACGTCAAAAAATTTCCGTCAAAACTAAAGATAAAATTAGAGACGGAACCAGATTTTGCCATAATCAGTGACATAAATTTTTTACGAAAAAAAGATTCAGTCAAAATTATTGATAGAATCAAAATTTCGTCGAAATTTTCAACGGAAATATTTTCGTCCAAAATTTTGACGAAACATATTTCCATCGAAAAGTTTCAATGTAAAACAATTACGTCAAATTTTTTTACGAAAAACATTTTCATCAAAATTTTTCGCAAAAATATTCGACGAAAAATATTTTCTTCAAAATTGTGACTAAAAACATGTTTGTAAAAAATTTTGAAGGAAATTTTTTTTTTTTGTTAAAATTCTTTATGGAATCTAAATTTCGTCAAAATATTTCACAAAAAAACATATTCATCGAAATTTTTGACGAAAAATATTTTCATCGAAATTTTCAACGAAACACATTTTTGACGAAAAATATTTTCATCGAAATTTTCAACGAAACACATTTTCACCGAAAATTTTTATCGAAAAAAAATTTCATCAAAATTATTTACAGAATTTAAATTTTGTCGAAAGTTTTCGACAGAAATATTTTCGTTAAACTTTTTGACAAAAAAATTCCTGTTGAAATTTTTCACGAAACACATTGCCATCAAAATTTTCGACAGAACACATTTATGTTAAAAAAAATTTGACAGAAAATATTTCGGTAAAAATTTTTGACGAAAAATATTTCGATAAAAAATTTTGACGGAAAAAATATTTTTTCAAAATTCTTTACAGAATCTAAATTTCCTCGAAAGTTTCGAATGAAACATTTCCCTCAAAAATTTTGTCAAAACAATTTCCGTTGAAATTTTTGTTATAACACATTTCCATTGAAATTTTGAACGGAAAACATTCTGTCAAAATTTTTAACGGTTCTTTTTTTGTTTAAAACATTTGATGGAGGAAATCATTTTCGTCAAAACTTTTGACGAAAACTAAATTTCGTCGAAAAAAAATTTTGTGAAAAATTTTATCGGAAATTTTTTTTTGTCGCTTTTCGATGAAAAATATTCTAATGAACAAATAATTTGTGACGAAAATTTCGTCGTTTGCAACGTAAAAATTTCGTCAAAAAATATGATCTTTTTTAGTATTGTGAAAAGTACATAAATAATTTTGTTAGAAATTTTAAATTTAATTTAACTTGTAAAATATAATAATTATATTTATTTTTAAAATAGAGTAAAATGATAAAAGTATCTCATTAACTCTCTATTTTCGTCCCTTACCATTTTTTGAACTCCCAAACAAGAAAAGAGAATACCCTTTAATTTCCTTCACTCCTCCTTGGATCTCTTTTCTTCCCTTCCCCTTCGAATTCGCAAACAAAGCCACAGGAGGGAGACTTGAGTAACCAATAAAGTTCTTATCTTCTTTGTGTGGATTAGTAGTGAGCCAATTGGCACACACATTATTCTTTGTGCTGGTGTGTTTACAGATCACCGTCTAATCCTAAACTAACCATTTATTAATTTGCGCAACAACGTGGGAGTCCCTGGGGTTTACATAGTGTCTTGGATTTGAGTAATGGCAATTATAGAATAACATTCCGGCTCCTATTCCCCAAATCATCAGTGTTTGTCATTTTAAAGTATAAAATTGTATCATTTTGAGTAAAACGACCGTGTTTTGATATATATAAAAAATCATAAAATATACATTAAAACAAGATTGTTTCATTTAAAATGACATGAGTTATTTCTTTTAAAATGACAAGTGATTTTCCTTAATTGAAATTAAATAAATCTTTTATAAAATCAATATGTAATCTTTATTAAACTCATCCAAACATGTTTTTTTTTTTGGTAAACATCCCAACATGTTCTTAATTTGTAATAAATGTATCTTTTTCTCTTTTATATTGAAAATATTCTGTAACTTAATTTAGTGGATAATTAAAAAATTAGGAATTTGTGGTGTTTGATTATTTTTTCCAATACTTATATAATTTTAAGGGTTTGTTTAATCTAAAGTTACTTTTTATAACTTTATCTAATGTTCATTGAAATGACGTCATTTTGGGGCAAAAATCATGATACTTTTGTAATTTTAATTTATTTCAGAGTTATAATAGTCTTTATCATTTTAATTTTTAATTTTTCAATCTTAAAACGACGTCATTTCAATAAACATTAGACAAAGTTATCTAAAGTAAAATTAGATACTTTTTCCCCTTATTTTAATAATCAAATAAAATAAACTTGTTTTGTTGTATTAATTTTTTTCTTAACAAATCATTGATGGAATCTTTCATTTTGGTCATTATCATCGACAAAATCTTTTGATGGAAAATAGATTCTGTCAAAAAATTTGTCGGATTCTATTTTTTGTCAAAAGTTTATGATGGAATCTATTTTTCGTCGAAAGATTCCAATGATGATATTGACCAAAACGGATTCTGTATCTAATTTGATCTTTATTTTCGATGGAATACGTTTTTTGTCGAAAATTTCGTAAAAAATAAAGCCTTTTATAGAAGTAAAAATTCACTTAGTGTAAACTTGAATGTTACTTAAAGCTTCACGCTAAAAAAAGGTAAGTATTTATTTACGAGTGTCAATTCAGGTTGATACGATACAAATTTGACAAGAAACGATACGATACATCAATACGAACATGACACAATTTTTTATTTGTATTAAAACCTTCAACACAAACATACCTGTAAATTTTGCGAGTTAACATGACACGACACGAATCACACACATTGAAGTTTATGAGTTGTAGCACCGATAGAATCACTTTTTATATGGGTTGACACGACACGACATGAAAAACACATTACATAATTACCCTTACATCATAAAGTGCAGCCGGATGTACATATTGGTCAAAACAGTAAATAGCTAAAAAAAAATATGTGTCAAATGCGTGTTTACGTGTTGACACACACAATATGAATTTTTGTGTGTCTTATATTACCAACATGAATGCAACACAAATTTAAATATGTGTCAACCCTAATTACTTATCCCGTCAAATTATTATGTCAAGAATTGATTGGTGGTGACTAACTAAAGAGAGAGAAAATTATGAAAATACTGAATTTTTATTCGTTAGTTATACTTGAAAAGAGCTATTTTTTTGTTAATTTCCAAAAAAGAGCTATTTTTTATCAAAAAGAAAAATAAAAAAAAAGAGCTATTAATTAATAATGTGTATCAACTCATGGTAAAACAAATCCTACGGGTTTTAATGGAAATTTTGAGACTCTAGTTCTATACAACTATTTATTTTTAAAATAAGGGAGACAACATTCAATAATCAACAGCAGGCATCTAGCAGCAGCGTGTATATTTCACGTACTTCGAGTTGCCCATTAATATACTGCAATTACAATTTATTTCGACCCGCGCCCAACAACTAACCCAATCTTTTACGACAACGCCATAATATTATTACCTCTCTCCATTCAATAGTGAAGACCCTATATGAACTTGTCTATTTTTCGTTAAAACTGATTCAAATGCAATAAGCCAATGTTTTGGATGTAATAAGTTTTAGTAAGCGAACTAAATGCTATATTTCCATTAAAATAAGAGTTTTATGTTTGTTATGTTACATGATGTAACATAACAAACTTACTCACACAATTAAGAAGAGAGAGGAGAGAGAAGAAAAGAAAAAACAAAATCAAGAAATGAGATCCACATAAAATTGAGTGTATAAGAAAATTATGTTACGTCATGTAACATAACAAACATAAAACCCTTAAAATAAATGGACAAATCCATAACCCACAGTTCACTTGTATTTATAGGCCATTAGGAGTTACTATAACTACCGTACTAGAACTGGAGGGTGGAACTAGGTTAGTTTGTGAAACCAAATAACCCATACCCAAGCAAGAGAAGAGAATGTTGCTTATTATGACAAATCGTTTGGTGGTGAGTTACGTTGGATAAGCACGTTTACGTGGAATCCAGGTCCAGTCAATTTGACATATATCTGTAGAGACAAGTGCGATGCTTTCTCCAAATCACAGTAGATGAATATGTTTCAACCTCCAAGACAGGACAATAATACATTAATCGCCCCAATTTAAAACTCAAAATTAAGACTACTAAAAAAAGACAAACTTAAAATTAAAATTAAAATTGATGTTGACATAACTTAATTCACTTTAATTTGTTCTTGTTCAATATAGGTCTTGAATTATTGTAATTATCATTTGTTTAAAAAAATTAACTAAATATTGTAATCCGGTAAACATTCATTTATTTTTAGGATAAGATACTTTGACATTCAAATTTTAAAAATTGACATCAAATCTCAAGATTTGATTTCCGTCAATCAACGATTATTATTTATTGGGAATTAATAAGTTAATTCCCAATAAACGATAACCGTTGATTGGTGAAAATTAACTGTTAGGAGGCGTTTGGTTCAAGAGAAATTTTTTTTTACTAGGAAAATAGAATTAGTAGGAATATGGTGGAAAAATGATTTTGGTAGGAAAATTTAAAAAAAGTTGTTTGGTACGCTAAAATATTACCAGAGAAATTGAGTTAAATTTTCTAAATGTATATTTAGTTGAAGGTAAAATATTGATGGAAAAATCTGGTTAAAAATACTAAAATAACCCTTTATCATACTTTATGAAAATTGGTTAATAATACTAAAAAAATTCTCATAAGTATTTTTTGTCTTTTCAATGGAACGTGTTTTTCCATTTACCCATCTAATTATAAAATACTATCTTAAAAATGGTCTTCTAAATAGTGCTCTCTATCTCATTTGCTTCCTATTTTTCAAAAGCTAGGGAAATATATTAGATGGAGAAATTATTCAATATCTTGAACCGAACATGGTGATTCCAAAAGACCAAAGTCACATACATAGGAAAAATTTTAAATAACTTGAACCAAACACCCCCTTAGGATTTAGTGTCAAATTTTAAAGCTTGACACCGGTGTCAAAGGATCATGTCCCCTTTATTTTTAACAATAAATAATTTTAATTTTTCAATATTAATTAATTGAAATTTTAACATGTATAAAAAACCCTCTAAATTGTATACCTTTTTTTTTATAAATAAACTGGGATTCTACTTCTACCCTTGACTCATTGGTTTTCTGATTAATTAGTAATTACTAGGGTAAAACACTAGAAAAAGATTTGACACAAGAATCGATGTTGGTGCAGCAATGATTAATGAGAAGTTTAAATCCCTAATTAATATGTATAGAAAACCACTATCTTACATACATTTTCTTTTTGGAAATAAACTCGGTTTCCTAGAATGCCCATACTGTTTTTTAATAAACAACGTTACGTTACAACAATAAACAAACGTTAAGAAATTAGACACAAATATTTTACGCTATCCTTTTGGTGCACAAATATTAAATATTATTATATCCTGCAAAAATATGCATACAATAAATTGGGATTCCTACAACTGAAATGGTTCCCCCAATATGAAACAAAAATTACAGTTTAGGATATTTAAGTATGATGAGTATTGTATTAATTGGTAATGGACTAAATTAAAATATATATAAATGGGTGATGATCTAATTTAATTTATTGATAATGGTCCCTTACCGTGATATTAAAACAGAGTTGGACTCGAACTTGATTGACTAGAGACGAATTGGGTATTTGAGCTTGAATATTTGATTAAAAAAATGTAATAAATTTCATATTAATTAATAATAGGTCAAATCTACTTCATACGATTGATCTAAACCCAATCATCTGGACCCGCCTGACATTCACAGGTTCCAAACATTTGACATTTGATAAGCGATGATAAATAACTGAATTTTTTTGGTAGATATAATAACATGGGTCATATAGAAAACAACCTCCTTAATTACTCTACAGTCCCCACCGTCACGTCATGCAGCATCGAGCCTCCGTCGGCACTCATGACTCAACGAGTGAGAGTGGCATTTCGGTAAATATACTCCCATCCCAACCCAAAAAACAACAAGTGAAATCCTCTCTCGTCCTTTTGTTTCCTTTCGCTTTTGTATCCGTTGATGAAAGTTCAAACCTCACTTTTCTCAATATTCTCTCTTCGCTTCTTTTCTTTTCTTTTCTATTTCTTTTCAATGCATAAGCATCCGTTTCATTAGAATTTTCTCAGCAACCAAACACTCTTAACAACGTCCTCATATCTTCAGTTGAGAAAATTCACTCCTCCCAGCAATGGCAGCGTCCGCCAACCCCTCCGGCGGTGCTCTGCCGGAGCTAACTAAGAGAACCCCCATTCTGGGTCTCAAACTCTACGTCTTAATCTCCGTTTTCCTACTAATCCTGGTCGCAGTCGTGCTCCTCATCTTGCTCTGCATTCGCCGGAGCCGAAGCTCCAAGAAGCGCAAAATGCGAGTGAAGCACAGCTCGGGCACAATCCCACTAGTGTCGAAGGAGATCGTGGAGGTTAAGGCATTGGAGCTCAAAATCGAAGACGGTGATGTTGATCCGAAGTCAGAGATCGAAGAGAGTGCGTCGGTGGAGTGTCCGAACATAGGGTGGGGCCGGTGGTATAGCCTGAAGGAGCTAGAGATTGCAACTGATGGGTTTGCTGAAGGGAATGTGATCGGAGAAGGAGGGTATGGGATTGTGTACAGAGGAATTCTCCAAGACGGTTCTGTCGTGGCTGTGAAGAATCTTCTCAACAACAAGTATGTGAATGTTAATGTCCAGTCCACAAGTTATTATTCCAATTTAATATATCTCATTCTAACTAACTCTGCATGTTAATATTTGTGCCCAAACTCTATGATTAATTTATGGAATGATATCTGGGTGGGTACCCCATTTCCTGTTTATGTATAAAATACGAGGATAAAGAGTTATAGGAAACTGTTTCTTTTTTGGTATCCCACATTTTTAAATTATGGAATAGGAATGTAAATCTGAAAGTTCGTAATTCTTATATGGAAATGTGCTTCTTTGGGTTCATCCAGATTCTAGGTGGAATAATTGAGTTGTTAGCTGTTAATATTTGTTTCGAGGAGGATTATGAAAAGTATATGGTTGCTTTGTTCTTTTTCTTTACTTTTTTTTTTGGTTGGTCTTGGTAATGTTACTTTTATCTTTATCTACTTTTACTTTTCGTTTATTTATTATATTACTCATGATTTATGTATCGCAACTTTTTCTTTACTAGGCATATTAATATTATCTTAATCCCGAGAAAACTATAGTCCAAATAAACTAACAACATTAGACGTTTTTCGGTTTTCCTAGCTTGACATCAGCGACAACAAACTCGGTAGGCCAGCCAGAAAACTGATAATATTAACAACTAGCTTCGTATTTCCCCTAATAAAGATGGCAGCATACAAATGCAAGCAGCGATGTGAAAGGAGTATGATAGATCAAACAATTTCTTACTATTGATGCTTCACTTGAAAATTGAACTTGTCTTTGGCAAAACATTTGAATTATCGCATAATAAATTAAGGAGTATTGTTAGAACTCCAGAATTAGAAGAAAACGTGCGAAGTTTGTTTTACCACTGCAAGTTTGCTCTGCAATACTTTATCCAGTTTATCTTTGCTGAAATAATGCGACATCTTTCACATATATTTCCTTCCCCTGTGGCCTATTTAAATTCATGTGCGGTATTGTATTGTAACTAAGGGGTCAAGCAGAGAAAGAGTTTAAGGTGGAGGTTGAAGCCATTGGAAAAGTGAGGCATAAGAATTTGGTGGGGTTAGTTGGATATTGTGCAGAAGGTGCTCAAAGGTAAATATTCTGTTTACATTACTGTTATTCTTAGGCCTTTCAAATGAAGAAATCTCCTCTAAATCTTTCAGGATGCTTGTTTATGAGTACGTTGACAATGGAAATTTGGAGCAGTGGCTGCATGGTGATGTAGGGCCTGTTAGCCCCTTGACATGGGATATACGAATGAGGATTGCTGTTGCGACTGCAAAAGGGTGTGCTTGTTGAATTTAATGTCTCATTTAATTGAACATATATCTTAAAGTATCACCATAATTACCTTCAAATGTATCATAATTCTTGTCAACTGAGATATTGACTATTTTTTAATAACTGGAATAAGTATTTCTATGGTAACTGTTATCATGCCTCATTATTATGAAATTTACATTACCTTAAATATTCTTTCATGAAAGTATCAATTAACATTTATAGTTTTCTACAATATGAAACAGGCTAGCCTACTTGCATGAAGGCTTAGAACCCAAAGTTGTCCATCGAGATGTAAAATCCAGTAACATTCTTTTGGACAAAAAGTGGAATGCCAAAGTATCTGACTTTGGACTGGCCAAGCTCTTAGGGTCTGAGAAAAGCTATGTGACAACGCGAGTAATGGGGACATTTGGGTTAGTTCTTTCTCAGGCCTCGGAGTTTATTTTATAATTTTATCTTATATGGAGGTGGATGATATTTATCTATATTATTTCTTACAACAAATTTTCTCCTATATGGACATTTGGTTAGTTCTTTCTCAGGCTTTGGATTTATTTTATAATCTCTCTTGTACGGAGGTGAATGATATTTATCAATATTATTTCTTACCACAAATTTCCTACAGATATGTTTCACCTGAGTATGCAAGCACGGGTATGCTTAATGAGGGCAGTGATGTGTATAGTTTTGGGATTCTACTTATGGAGCTAATTACAGGAAGAAGTCCCATTGATTATTCTAGACCACCTGGAGAGGTGATTCCAGGATTTCTCTGTTTTCTTTACTGTATTCCGTGAAACTACCATGAGTCTTATGTCTGTTTTTGTTTGATGTGCTTCAGATGAACTTGGTTGATTGGTTTAAGGGAATGGTAGCAAGTCGTCGTGGTGATGGGCTAGTTGATCCTTTAATTGAGATTCAGCCCTCTCCAAGATCTTTGAAGCGAGCTTTACTGGTTTGTCTGCGCTGTATAGATTTGGATGTTATTAAGCGACCAAAGATGGGTCAAATTGTTCATATGCTCGAGGCAGATGATTTTCCCTTTCGTACTGTAAGCCCCAAGCTTCAGACAATCTATCTTATAATACAGCACGTATATGTTATGCAGAGTTAACAGTTTAGAAACTAAATGCCACATCCTAATCTAGGTTGACTGATGCTGACTACCTACCCCACAGAAAGAAGGAAAAAATAACTTCACGTTTGTGCCACTGAAATGCATGTTTGTGCTCAGTTTAACGTATGCTATGCTCAACAACTACACCAATTATTGTGTCGATTTTTAAGATGATTTATCTTTAATGCTATGAAAATTTTAAAATGTTATCTGCACTGCATATTTGATAGGATGCTTAGTAAGTTCTAGTGATTCATACTTCAACTTCCTTTAATGACTAGCTTTCCTAATTGAATAGGAACTTCGAACAACTAGAGAGAAAGATAATGTTCCTTCTCAAGCAGCTGTTTCAAGCAAGGTTCCATATCCAACAAGGCATGTGGAGCCGGTAGATAAATCAAGCTGGAGATGATTGCCTCTTGTACTGCTAAACACATGTGCACCGCGTATTTGTTCTGATGATTTTCAATTTGTTATGAACAAGTCAGAAGCCATTGTGCATATCTTACACAGTTGTAGTTACTTTTCTTTCGGTCTTATCGTATTCTGTTGTATTGCTATATCTTGTGAAGAAGTGAGCCTTGTAAATATTTATCTCTAAATATATATCAATTTTATCAGTCTGCATGAGATAATATTTCTGAAATATTGCTGATATTTATTTAAGGAACTTCCTGTTTGTACTTCATATTTGGTTGAGAGGGTTGGGGGTCTCGGCCAATAAAAATGCCCCAGAAAATAAAGAATATATAATAAGAAAATGTTGTTACATGGTCTTTGACCCTGTTTGTACTTAATGTTGTTCCATGATGTGAAAAGAAAGAGAAGGGTCGGTAAAAGTTTTATTTTTAAATTAAGAGAGTTTGTAATATTTATAAAGATAAATAAGAAATGATTGAAAATTTAGCATATAATTTATTATTATTTTTTAAATCAAAAATATTTACATACAATACAAAATTTTCGCTATTGTTTTTACTTTTTCGAAATATTCTGTACAAACATACATTTAGATGGTGTATTGGATTAGGATTTTAAAACACTTTTTTGAGATAAAAAATTCTACAGATTTTAAAAGACATTTTAGAATTAAAGAGACTTTAAAGACTTTTTTAAAAGACTTTTTTTACGATCAAGATTTCATAAGATTGGATTTTAATAGAATTTATAAGATTTGAAATAACAATATGGATTTATAAGATTTTAAAAATCATATGAATTTTTAAAGAACATTCAAAATTACAAGAGTCAATACAAAAAGGAAAGGTTATACTTACAACCTATTTTTGTTTACAACATTTTACAACCATATCTTAACCGTTGATTTCCGTCAATCAACGGTTATTATTCATTGCAAATTAAATATTAATTAATGAGTATGATTTGCGAAAATAATAACCATTGATTGACGGAAATCAACGATTAAGATATGGTTGTAAAAGGTTATAAACAAAAATAGGTTGTAAGTATAATTTTCCCCATAAAAAAATAACAAAGAAATGCAATGAAATTAATAAAAAAAAGTAAAACCTAATATAATTTTCTCAATCAGTAAAACATAATATAATTTTTAACAGACATTCAAAATTACTTAATAATAGCTTTTCACATATCTAATGGGTTGAAAATTATCTTCTTCATTTGGTATCAAAACTATGCATATATGATTATAAGATCCAAATTTTTTTATTATAAAAATAATTCTAAATTTGCATATAGAACCTAAAGTTCATGATAAAATTTTGTTTGAAATTTTAGCAATTGATCTTGAAAACCTTGGGGTTTTTGAAATTTTCTAACCATATGAATATGAAATTTTAGGTTTAATTACATGAAAGTTTAGAAAATTTCTCAAATTTTTTTCAATCGATACATTGAAACCTTAAATTGCTCTGGGACTTTTGAGAAACAAGCTTTTAGTTATCTATTGACACAAAAATTATTTGAAATCGTGTACTATATAATGAAGGAATTTCGTTCATGAATGTATTGTTACGAAATATAGGGTTCATATTATGAAAGTTTCAATCTTTCTTTAAATTGATATTGTTTTATTGATGTAAAACAAAAATTGGTTTGAGGATTTTAGTTTACCTGTTATTTTTTCATTGTTTTATGTTGTTTTTAATACAAAAACACGTTGCACCACTAGGGTTAGCCTAGTGGTGTGGGGTGTGTGTGTTAAGAGTGTGTGTAGTGTAGGGTGTTGTGTTCAATTCCTTGTAACCTCAAAAAAAAAAATACAAAAACACGTTTTTGTGCCAAGAAAAATCGCGACCCGTAGCTTGATAAATCACTCTTTAAACTTCCAAAATTTCTAAAAAATGGCTCAAAAATATGTTATTTTTGAGATAGATTATATTAAAATCTCATTGGTTTGTTGTTTCTGGTTGTTTTGTGATAAAAATCGCTCAAAAATATACTTTTTTTTATAGTTTTGACGAAGCTCTCATGGCGGAACCCAATTCGAGCAGTCAACTTGCCAAAGGAAGAAGAAAACACTACAATGGAAGAATCTCAAGAAATACTAGAGGTTGGGGTGTGATTGTGAGAGAGACATCCTATTTATATTTTTCATTAAAAAGTCTCGCAAAATCCACACCAATAGAAAATTCATTAAAATCGTCAGATTTTTGAATACTACGAGATTGTGATTTCATTGTTTAAGATCCTGATTGAATACCAACAGATTTGGACGGATTCTAAAATAATCCTTTAAAATTCTAATCGAATACCACGTGACTTTTATTCAATCCATTAAAATACTAATCGAATACCAACAGATTTTTTTGTCCAAAAATAATCCATTAAAATATTTTGAAATCTCAATCCAATACACTTCCTACGCTATCCGATTCCTCATGCCTAAAGGCTAAAATTTTCAGTGGCCGCAATGCATCATCCACATCGAATTCTCTCTGCTTGACGTCTAGTTACAAGACAAAAGTCCTCAATAGGAAGATCAGCTCGTGTGATTTTCAGATTTTCCCTTTCCCTATATGCTTAACCCTACAAGACTTAAAAACGACTTAATAATTTTCCTTGTTATTATTTACAAACTAGCTGGTTTGTTGCCCTTGAATCCAATGCTAAATCAGGTTAAAGGCTACCAAATGTGACAGAACAACTAATAAAATAAGGCCAAAATGCCACTGGTCCGTGAAACAGTTGAAAAAATGAATAGTTAAACTTGTAACAAGGTCAATCAAGTAACTTAAATTTCCGAAGTCGGTACTACTGAAATTTGAATATTTTTCGAAGTATATTATGCATGTGTTTAATTGTAATGGCAGATTGAAGATAAAGGTTGAGAAAGAAAAATAAAATTATAAAATAAGATTTGCAATCTCATGAATCATGATATTGTTTATAATCGTATAGGTTTTTTTTTTTTGGTAAAATAATCGTATAGGTTTGCTCATTCATTATGCTTGTTTTGCATCTTTAAATAATAAAAATTTAATCTAATTTATAAATATAATTTTTATGTATATATGGAACCGTTATTAAAAAAATAATTGAATTTATTTAAAAATCGATGTTATATTTGGAATTTGTTAAAAACCTGCTCCTATTATTACCAAAAAAAGAAAAGCCCGCTCCAATGGATGCATGTGGTGGTGGAGCATTTTGATAACCTAAAAGCCCGCCAGCTCTAACTTTTTTGCATTGTAATTTTCAAAAAAAAACTTTTTTTCATTGTTTATTTTTTCTCTACAATTTTTTAAAAACAGTATTTGGACAAAATTCTCAATATAACGATATCTAGTGGTTGTTATTACCGAATGAAATTTGAGTAAAGATACAAATGCTGGTAGCTCCGTCGGATCTAAGTAGTGGAAATGAAAAGAATTTGGTTTGATTATGCTACTTTTTCAAGGGTTTAAAATCTTTATTCCTAATTCATTCCGCACTCTTGATTAGTCTCATAATCGACCCTATGAGTCGAAGTTTGTGGGTAGGGATATTAAAAGAACCGAGGCCTTTTTGTCTGACCTAGCCTATCTATTTTGATTGTTGAATACAAACTTTGATTTATGTAAAAATCATTTAATAAAAAGGTTACAGATTTCAATTCAAAAGTTTGGCGCTTTAGAGCCTATCAAGCTAGCATGATATATTAACTCATTTTTTTTTTAGAAAACTTCAAAAACCCCACTCTAACTTTTCTCATAATCATTTACCCCTTCTCCAAATTTTGAATCATTTATCCTCTGATTTAATTTTTTTTTATCAATTACCCCCATAAGTGAGGGGGATAAATGATAAAGAAATTTTAAGTCAAGAAGGTAAGTGATAAAAAAATTTAAATAAGGATATAAATGATTCAAAAAATTTGTGACAGGGATAAGTGATAATTAAAAAAACTTATAGAGATTTTTTTGAAGTTTTCACTTGTACATCCCTTTTTCTGCACATGAAATTTTTGGAAAATAAAAGTTATATCTTATTCTTACTTTAGCACGAAAAATCTTTACTCGCTTAAAACTATTTATCATAAAAGATTGTATACACTCAAATTCTTATGGGCTGTTTGATAAAGAGATAAATTTCAAATTTTCAAAAAACTCACTTAAAATTCGAATAAAAATACAATGAAACAATACTATTAGGGGTGGTATTATTGGATGAGAAAATTTTACAATTTATAAGACGTAAATAATTTTGTTTTAATATTTTTATGACCAAAATATACTTTTTTGTTAAATACTCTCTCAGTGTAATATACAACTCTGGTTAAATTCATCAAATATTAATTTTGTAAAATTAATCCACCAAACATAAAATTAAAAAATTTGAGTCAATATTTTTGAGAATATTTTCTCCTACCAAATATTTTTTTCATAATATTGCTAGAAAACTTATATTTTCAATATATTCTCATTAATCATGATTTCCAAAAAAAAAAAAAAACAATTATCGTCTCCTTGACGAATTCTCGTCACTCGTAATAAATTACTAATTACTAAGATGAGCCAAGATTGGCTGGAGAAGTGACACGTGGGGAACCCAGAATATTCCCTCCAGCACCGAACAAATGCGCGCCAAACCAAATTGCTTTTTCGCCTGTTCGTTTGTCTAATCTCTACTCGATACTCACTACTCACATCACCTTTCGCCTTTCGGCGTCTTCTTTTTTCTTTTCATTTTTTTTTTAAGAAAATATAATCAAAAAAGAGATAAAAAAAAAGGGGTTACCCGTTAACGAGCTGATTTCATCTGGCACCAGATCTATTCACAATTTTCACATCGGATAAGAGACGAGAGCGGCATGGAGGAGAAGCTAATAGAGAGGTTGGAATCGGCGGTGGCTAAGTTGGAGGCGCTATCCACTGGATTCCATGTAGGCGGTGGTGACGTGGCTGAAGAAGCGGTGGATCCGTCCATTGTTGCCTTCGGCGATCTGATGGAGCAGTATCTGACTAGGGTTTCCACTGCTGCTGAGAAGATTGGAGGACAGGTCTTGGATGTCACAAAGATTGTGCAAGAAGCTTTTGCCGTTCAGAAACAGCTTTTGATTAAGGTCAAGCAAACTCAGGTCAGCACTTCTAACACATTTCTCATCTCTTTTTTTTGTTCTGTTTTTTCCACCTTAAATGCGTCCCTTATTTATTTTATTTATTTTTATTGCATGTTACTGCCTTGTCACTGATCTGAATCAGTTGATTTTGGATTTTTGGTGTGGAATTAACCGATTTAAATTTAACGTGCGTCACTTGGTCTACATGAAGAAATTATTGCACTGTAATGATAATATTTAGTGCATGCTAGGTACTTAGTCTATAGTTTAGTAGCAAGTGAACTGAGTGTAGTGGCAAGTAATTTTATATATGGGATTCAAATCTCTGATTGCTCATTTCTTATCGGCAATATGATCAATGGATTGTGTGGACTCTCTGGATTGGGACAAAAGAGTGACGTTCCAAGCTTTGTGGAGTAGTGTAGCATAGCCTTTGATGCAGTAGAGGTTGCCATCTTTCTGGTGGCAAACTGTTTCTTCTTTCATGTTTCTGTAATTCGTCTGAGAAGTTTGTGTGTTAATGGATAAACGATGATGTCAACTAGGATTCCAATACTATAATTAAAGTGAGGTTCATTATTCCCGGTGCTGTAAGTGTTGATGTTCTGTTTAGTGTATGTCCTGGTGTTTGTAAATGCCATCTTAATATTCACATATTCATTGTGCAGAAGCCTGACCAAGCTGGCTTGTCCGAGTTTCTGAAACCATTGAATGAAGTGATCATGAAGGCTGCTGCAATGACAGAAGGAAGGAGATGTAATTTTTTTAACCACTTGAAGTCTGCTGTTGACAGTCTCTCAGCTCTAGCATGGATTGCATTTACAGGGAAGGATTGTGGTAAGTGATGAATGATTCTTTTCTACAATGACATATTACCTTTTGGTTTCTTATTTTTCTTTTGTTCTTTCAAGGTATGAGTATGCCCATTGCACATGTGGAGGAAAGTTGGCAAATGGCTGAGTTTTACAGCAACAAGGTACTCTCGATGCATGCCATAAACTGTGGATTTATTTAGATAACTTTGTTGAACCACTGGTCTTCTCTTTCACTTTTGTGGAGAAAAGAATGAAGGAGTCTCCTGCGAGTGAAGTGGGATTTTCTTCCTTTGATAATTTTAGCAATCAGTATTGTATCCTAGCATTGGAAAAAGTTTCATATTTGTGTCAATATTTGTATATCTACCTGCTCCTTTTGTTATATCAGCACAATGGCTGAGAAAGGAAATGATCGATGAATAGCAAGGTTAATGTTTACATGCCTAGATTCAGCAATTGTGATTTTAAATCTTTGATTTCCAATTTACTTTTGCGAACTTTTTTGGTGCAATATGAATTTCGCTGATCATGCATTAGCCTTCTAAACTTTTCTTTGCAAATTCCTATCTCATTTTGACTGCCATTTCGTGATTAAAGATTATTGATGTCAGTTTTTTAACTTCAATAATCAGGTGCTTATAGAGTATAGAAACAAAGACCCAAATCATATTGAGTGGGCCAAAGCTCTGAAAGAGTTATATGTACCTGGTTTGAGAGATTACGTCAAGGGCTTTTATCCTTTAGGCCCTGTGTGGAGTCCAACAGGAAAAACAGTTGCTCCTTCAAAAGCTTCTGCAGCTGCTATGCCTGCTCCTCCTCTTCCTCCACCTGCTTCTCTCTTTAGTTCTGAATCGTCTCAAGGTTCTTCCTCTAAGCAGAAAGAGGGGATTTCTGCTATTTTTCAACAACTCAGCAGTGGGAATGTCACAGCAGGTGGCTTATTAGTACTCCCACTTTCCTGATTGAATTTTAAGAATTTCTTAATTAGAAATTTTATCTTCCAGGTTTGAGAAGGGTTACAGATGATATGAAGACAAAAAATCGCACAGATAGAACTGGAGTTGTTGGCACCAGTGAAAAAGAAAGTCGTGCAGGTTCACATACATTTTCTAAAGCAGGACCTCCAAAATTAGAACTTCAAATGGGCCGCAAGTAGGTTTGTTTTTGTGTATGTGCGTGCTTTATTGATTTTATGTGTATCAAAGTCAATCTCAGTTTATCATTATTCCATCTCTCTAACCTAAATATTCTCTGCTGCTATAGGTGGGTTGTTGAGAATCAAATTGGGAAAAAGAACTTGGTCATTGAAGATTGTGATGCAAAGCAGTCTGTATATGTTTATGGATGCAAAGATTCGGTTTTGCAGATTCAAGGTAGTCATAATTATTTTACAAGCTTCTTTCTCTACATGTTTGGTACAATAGAGCATTATCTGTTGCAATCAAACTTATCACTTGATGAAATAATTTACAGGCAAGGTCAATAATATAACCATTGACAAATGCACAAAGATGGGAGTTGTATTCAAGGTTAGTGTGGCACATGGGAAATAGAGGTTTAAATTATTAGTTATTGGAAGCAATTAATATTGAGGGAAACTTGTCATTTTTCTATGTGCTTAAAATGTAGGATGTTGTTGCAGCTTGTGAGATCGTAAACTGTAATGGGGTTGAGGTGCAGTGTCAGGTACACCCATATTCCTCCTTCTATTTTTCCCTACATAACAACTTTCAGTGACGTTGATATGTCTGGTTGAATATGATATTATTATGCCTAAATATTATGATAGCAGAAATTATCATTCATTTTCACTAATGATCAGATGCAGAGTTTGGGTTTAATCTTAAATAAAGAATTAGGACATCAAATGTGGTTTTAGTTGTAATTATGCTTGCTTTAACTAATTCAGGGTTCAGCTCCAACTATTTCGGTGGACAACACTTCTGGCTGCCAGCTTTATCTGAGCAAAGATTCTTTAGAAACATCCATATCAACAGCTAAGTCAAGTGAGATCAATGTGTTGGTACCTGGTGCTGAGCCTGATGATGATTGGGTATGTTTTCTCATTTCTGCTCTATTATATGTTTGACAGTGCAAAGTTTGGTTTAACTAAGGAGCTTGAGTTTTCTGGGTAATATCTCAGTAAAATAAAAAATCAATCACATCCATTCTCTGAGTTTGGACTTTGTTTTTTTTTGTTTTTGTTTGGCTGAGATATAACCTTCACCTAAAAGTAGTTAAGCTTTTTGGGGAGAGTTGGTCGTTGACAAACATCACTGGAATCCATCTATAGTTAGAATCTTTCTAAAACATTGAAATTACAAAGGGCTCGCTAGCTTAGTCTTCCTAAAATTTTCAACTGGAATTGGCAATCGTGGATAGAAATCATCAGCAAACTATTGAAGTCAACTAACACTTCCAAATTTTAATCATATCTTCTATTTCAGGTGGAGCATTCTTTGCCACAACAATATATTCATGTGTTCAAGGATGGACGTTTTGAAACAACTGCAGCTTCCCACTCTGGAGGTTAAATTGATTGGCAGTTTGGAATTCCTATTTATTTTTACAGTATTTTATTATTGGATTGCTGTGGGAGTGGCTTCAATTTCTTGTTTCTTTAATTCATTTACAAATACAGTAGTATATATAGGTGTATCATATATATACTTGCTCGGCTGCCTTTGCTTGTGATTTTTCCATTGGCTTATTGAATCATTGGAAACATCCATAAGATTTTTGTTTGGCAGAGTTTGCTTCTGCGGGAACATGCTTTTGCGAGTTGCATTACGCTACTTTATTTCAGAAGATCTTTGCAAGAATGTTTACATTGCCCAAATAATCTTTGTTTCATACTCAATATCTCATGTTTGCATTTTTCTTTTTCTATTTTGGGGGTATGTCATGTTTGCTTATTTCGAGGATAGAGCAGTTGATGAGCTCGTCTTGATGATGCATTCTGACCAACCAATTTAACTAGTGACAAGAAAATCCGATTTTAGTCCTGTCCAGTTAAATAATTAAGGGTGTGTTTGTTTCGGCTTTAAAGCTTTAAAGTAAAATGTCTTTTTGATATAGTTTATTTTAGGTTTTTCTTTTCTTTTCAAAAATTATTATTTTTAACCTATAAGAAAAGTATTAAAATATGTTTTAGATATAAAATATTTTTTTTCTTAAAAATGACGCAAATAAACGGTTCTTAAATTGCAAGTGCTTGTACACTTGGTTAAATTAAGTGATCACTTGTCACAATTATGAAGCTAGTTCTTAATACATATATATTTTTATTAATATACATGCTTTAACCAATTTTAATTATATATAATTATATTAAGGGACAATTTTTTTTGATATCAGTGCTAAAGTAAAAAAATCAATTAAATATTAATTGTTGTTTTTTTGTCAATTTAACAATTATAATTTATTAGAAATTAATAATTAATTAATAAGTGTGATTCAATAAATTATAATCATTGCATTCATGAAATTAACAATTAAGATTTAGTGTCAAATTTGTAGTTTCACACTTTTATTAAAGGATTCTATCCCTATTTAATATTATTTGAGTAAATGTACAGTTCGAGCAATTACCAATTAATTGAATCAACGACCAAATAGTTTGAATTGGTGAATAAATTTTTAGTGTAATTGATGGACCGAAGATTCAATGTAAATTCCATTTATTTTGTGACATGGTGACAAAAATATATTATATCATCTGAAAAAGGAAAAATTAAATGATAGTTGATCAGATGATATGATATTTTTTGTCCACGTGTTACAAAATGAATAACAGTTGTACTAAATCTTCGATGTATCGATTGCACTAAAAATTTATTCTGAATTGGTTGATGCTCCGCTAGATTCAAGATGCAATTTGAATATTTTTTTTTAAAAAAATTTAGTTAATAGTTGTTTTAAGTTTTTCATTAAGTTGTTTTTATTTTTTAACCAAGTATTAAAATGATTTTTAAAATTTAGTTATAATAACTTTTTAAAATATATTTTATAATTAAAATTATTTTCTTAAAAAAGGGGATCCTTGATGATTATGCTTTTCACGTTATCTTCAATATTGGAAAGGATATTATTTTATTCTGGTTATTTTAATTATTATCAAAATGTCAATATAATTCATTTAAACAAATAAAAATAAAGTATAAAATAATAAAATAACCACGTTACTACTTTTGGATTGAGATCAGTATACTAGTGATAATAAAGAATTTTGTTGATTTGGAATCTGGATGCAATATTTTGCACGTTCCAACTTCCAAGCAATAGATGGTAATAATGAAAAAGCCTTTGCCGACCGAAATCCCCCCAAAAGTACTATTGTAATATAGTATTTTTCAAATTTGTCACAAACTACATTTATCCAAGCCATTGACATGTGTATACAATTTATTGATTGTTTTTGTATTATTTTATGGCACTGAAATGGAGCCCCAATCACTCAGATGTAGAAAAACTTGTTTGTTTATGAATCTTGAGTTTGTATTTGAATCATTTACGATGAATTTTACCAAAGGTATTTAAATCTGAATAAAAAGTTGTTTATACCAAAATTCGTTGGATTCACTGTAGTGCATCGAGTAAGAAATTTGTAAAAAACATGGCAAAATTTCCATAGAATGACGAGTTAACTTTGCAAATGGCGGACCTGTTAGCAGACCAATTCTCTGCGTAAGATCTACGAAACTTACCAATTGAAAAGGATAGCTTCTCCTTTACGGCAAAACCACTTTTTGCCCATGTCACACTACCTGGAATGTAAACAGGCGGATTCATCAGTTTAGTGTACTAATATAAAATTGTTAGCGTCCGTGCAAATATTTTATTCTGTCTGGACCCGGAGCATATTTTTAATGGAAAAAGTGTCTATCAATTTTAAGGGTATAAAATTATATCATTTTAAGTGAGAGAAAGAGATATATAAAGAAAGAAAGAGTGGAGAAAAAATAAATAAAGATATGGATCCTATTTCTTTGTGAGAGTGAAATGATATAAGTTGTGTCATTTAAAATGACAAATAATTTTTTCATTTTTAATATGATAAGTATTTCTTTACTAAAATTCAAAAAAAAAAATGGAATTTAGAAATCCACTGTTTAGAGGTGAAATTGCACAAACGCCAAGTCACCAATCGACAAGGACGGCTTCTCGAATATGGCTAGATCTGGAATGTAAAGTAAAACTATATAGTACATTAGGACCTATCCTGCGGTTGATTGGCCCGTTTAAGCTACTACGAAAGAATTTTATCACTTTAGTGTTGTGGAAAACTGGAAATATTTTTACTTTATTTAATTTTCTTGACACACTCGGTAACTGGGGTTGAGTTAGTGAACATTATTTGCAACTAAAAATTCACATGATAGTAGGGAAAGAAATGGGTAAGTTTTATTATGTGGCAGCATGATTCATTAATAAATTTGCGTAACTAAATTAACAAAATATTAATCATCTGAATACGTAAATAAAATGATAACAATGATAGAAATATTTTACCTGGATCATGTATATGATCATAAAATACCTAAACAATATGAAATCAAAGTTAAGATTATGTGTACCTTGCTGTGCTATCACAAATTCGGAGAAGAACAGTTGGAAACAAGGGAACAAGATTTTAGAGTCTTTCTCTTTATTGTCTATTCAGAAATTGGCAGCCTTCTGCAGATGGGAGCATGATGGCTTATGGAGTTTAACTCCAATATAAATAGGCTAGAGAAGGGACCTAGCTAATAATCCGGAAAAGAGTCTGTGTCCACTGGGTCCACCCATAATGAAAAACCAGGGTCACATTAAAGCCTACACTGCTGCCCAACTAAGTCCAATAACAACAGATGTCAGAAGTCCAATTCAATGTGATCACAATGGACTAGTTACAATAATAATATTGAAATATCCATTAACCCGATTAATTTTAAATACAAAACCAATTAATTAATATTGCCCATAAAATAAAATTTCTAACAAACAAGGTAATTAATTAAATCTAATTATTTTGTAATTTAAATTATCACCATTATTTTTAATAATTTGATATTTAAAATAAGTATTTTGATTGTAAGTATTTATGAGAATGAATTTGAAATAAGAGAGGGATGATTTTCATAATTAAACCTAATCAAGAATTAGAATCAGATATACTAATATATTGCCACGTCCCGAAATAACAGCTGATCCTAGTTTTCATACTCAGACAGACATACTCTTTTTACCGTTACAGTTCTACCTGTACATCTTCCCTGCCTTGTTGCTCTAGTCTTTTCTTTCTCTCTGATATCATATTTATTATTGTGAAAAAAGTTTTTGATGTTATTATAGATAATTTTATCTAATGTTCATCGAAACGACGTCGTTTTGGGGTTGAAAAATTAAAAAATTAGAGTGATAAAAACTATTATAACCCTGAAATAAATTAAAATTATAAAAATACCATGATTTCCGTCCCAAAACGACGTTGTTTTGATGAACATTAGATAAAGTTATCTAAAATAACATCATAAAAAACAAACTCTTTATTATTTTAATGTTTTTGATTCTATTTTTCACTTTCTAAGTTCCCTTTATAAAAGCATCTACTTCAAAGTCCCAATTCCCACACTACACATCATAAACATTAGTTGGGGCTTTTGAAGCCATGGTCACACCTTCAATCCTCCTCTGCCTTTCTCTATTGGCTATCTCCCTCAGCTTTACTGGTTAGTTCTTTTAGTTCCCCGTCTTTTTCTTTTTCTTTTTCTTTTTTTACCACAACCATTCGTATTATTATTACTATTACTATATAACCTTTTGGGTTTGCCTTTTTCATTGTTTTCCGGTACTCAAAGCAATGTTACTTTCTTTGAAATTTCTCGGGAAAGAGCAAGAAATAACTGTTTCTCTTCTCTCTTCAAAAATAACTTTCACTATTTTTGTGTGTGTAGATTTTGGACTTTGAATCGATTTCATTAAATTCTGGTTTTTCTTGCAGAGTCGCAATCCTTCATCGGCGTAAACTACGGCCAGGTCGCCGATAACCTTCCTCCGCCGGAGGCCACGGCCAAGCTCCTCCAATCCACCACCATCGGAAAAATTCGTATTTTCGGCACCGATCCTGGGATCATCAGAGCCCTGGGAAATTCCGGCGTCGGGATTGTCATCGGCGTCGGAAACGGCGACATTCCGAGTCTAGCCTCCGATCCCTCAGCGGCAACTCAGTGGGTCAGTGCGAACGTGTTGCCTTACTACCCAGTCAGTAACATCACTCTGATCACCGTCGGCAACGAGGTGTTGACCTCCGGCGACCAGGGCCTCATCTCGCAGCTTGTTCCGGCAATTCGAAATGTCCAAAGTGCCATCAGCTCGGCGTCGCTCGGCGGCAAGATCAAGGTCTCGACGGTGCACTCCATGGCCGTTTTGACTCAGTCGGATCCACCATCGTCCGGGTTGTTCAACCCGGTTCTCCAAGATACCCTGAAACAGTTGCTGGCGTTTCAGAGGGATAACAATTCGCCACTTACAATCAATCCGTACCCGTTCTTCGCTTACCAGAGCGACCCGAGACCCGAAACGCTCGCATTCTGCCTGTTCCAGCCCAACTCGGGCCGGGTTGACTCGGGTAACGGAAAGCTTTACACGAACATGTTCGATGCTCAGGTCTGTGACTGTTGCTGTTTTCCTTTTTCCACTTTTCATTTTTTTAATGAAAAATTGTCGTGGGAGTCAAATACACAATCTTCCTCTGTTTTCCACATTCCTGCACGTGTCCATGGTTTCGCCGTTATTATTTGGATAAAATAATGGGATTAATATTTGTTCATTGATCTCACATTGAGATTCGCCGACGAGATTAATTCCCGTTAGAGGAGAGATCTACGTTCTCTGGCCCAAAGATTTTATAAGAATTTTCTCTGGCCCAAACCTGATCCTAGCATAATCATAGGAGCCTGAGCTCTTGAAGATTGATATCACACACTTTTATTTTTATTTTTTTTAATACAAAAAAGTTTAAGTGGAGTTAGATATTGGTGTCTCACTAGGGTCAGGGGAGACCCCCAATCTCTTTGAGAATTTTTGAGAGAGATTACATATCACCTACCAACAAAGTCCTCACATCGGCCAGCGGGGTTTGAACCCACGCCCTTGAGGGGGATATCACACACTTTTACATATGTATAAAGATAAAATTCTCTCTTATAGTATATAAAAATATTAATAGAAAATCATACTCTTACGTTGCATTAGATTAATCTCTTATTATACTCTTACTTCGAAAAAATGTACCTCTCTTTTTTTTTCTAAAAATTGGTGGGGTCCACCTTTTCATCTTTCCCTCGCGGTACTTGTTCGTTATCGATCTCTCGTCAGTATTTAGCCTTGGACGGAATTTACCGCCCGATTGGGGCTGCATTCCCAAACAACCCGACTCGCCGACAGCGCCTCGTGGTGTGACAGGGTCCGGGAACTTTGTGTCTTAACATGAGAGAACTTCTCTCATACTACATGAAAGAAATAATCTCCAATATTAATTCCTAAAATAATATTCTTGTGCGATCAGTTTTACTTAGTCATGATTAGGGGTGTTAATAGGCCGAGCTGAGCCGAGCTTTGGTCTTAAAAAGCGAAACGTATATTTAAATGTGTTAGCCTAACATAGCCTGTTATGAATATAATTATCGGCATGTGGTCTGACTTATTTACAAAAAATACAAGTCTGGTTTAACCTGTTTAATAAAAATAAAACAACAAAAATTTATTCAAACAAAATATATGATCCACAACACTAATAATTTCACAAAGATTCATAAATTCAATGTATATCCAAAAAACATAATATAAAACAAAATCATTCAAAAAGTCTGTTTAATCAATAAAATAGAGTGAAATGGATTGAGGAGAGAGAGATTTCTATTATGAATAGTATAAAAAATATAAAATAAAAAAAATTTAGTACACTAGGTAGAGACTCTAAGCCGAGCTTTTGAATTGGAGGCTGAGACTTTTTTATTAAACGAGTTTTTATATACGTTCAAGCTTAGTTCTAACGATCAATTTTAGACATATAAGCTCAGTCATTCATGAGCCGAACCAAAAGTCCCTTATTCATTTAGCACTCCTAGTCATGATGATATATTTGTGATTTAACAAAAAATTATTTGAAGGATTAGATTGAAAATCTCGCTATTGAAATTAATGTATGGCTAAAAATGTGACGAGACCCACAGGTATTGAATCTTGATTCAGTAAGTCTAGTTTACCCAAACTCTAGTCTAAATGGCCTAATTTCTCATTGTTTAAATTATGGTTGGCGCACATAATTACGCTGCTAATTGAATCGGAGCCCTTTAATAATCTTATCAGGTTTATAATTAGTAGAGTTTTCGTTATTGATCTTTCTTCATATTTGGGTTCGAATTATGTGGAGCAGATTGATGCTATACATTCCGCTTTGAATGCGATGGGCTTCCCGGACATCGAGATTGTGGTTGCTGAGACAGGATGGCCCTCTGGCGGGGACAGCAACGAAGTAGGACCCAGCGTTGAAAATGCCAAGGCCTATAATGGGAACCTAATTGCTCATCTTAGATCATTGGTGGGGACCCCTTTGATGCCTGGGAAGTCTGTGGAAACATACATTTTTGCGCTCTATGATGAGGATTTGAAGCCTGGCCCAGGATCCGAACGAGCCTATGGGCTGTTCAAAACTGATCTTAGCATGTCATACGATGTTGGGTTAGCCAAATCTAGCCAGCAGGTGAAGAAATTCCCATTCTTAAAAAACAAAAAAAAAAAGGATCGTAAGATTTCTGAATGATTTTTAGTAACATGTAGGCTCATTTGTCTGTCCACAGAGTCCAACTACAGCAACTGGATGGTGTATTCCGAAAGCAGGAGTCTCTGATGCTCAGTTGCTGAACAATCTTAACTACGCCTGTAGCCAAGGCATAGACTGCAGGCCAATTCAACCAGGAGGTGCTTGTTTTGAACCTAACACAGTAGCATCTCATGCTGCCTTTGCCATGAATCTCTACTACCAATCGTTTGGTAGAAATATATGGAACTGTGATTTCTCTCAATCAGCAATGCTGACGTCCCAAAATCCTAGTAAGTTTTCCTGATCCCCCTTAAATCTTTGTTTCATTGTCACAATTTGGTAGTATTAAATACTGATTAATGAAAAAGTAGCAATTAGGACTGCAACTGGACAGATTAGGAGCAACCGTGATGGTAAAATGAGTACTATTCTTTGGGATAAAAGATAACATTTTCCTCGCTGGCACAAAAGTGATGTGCCTAAATGATCATAATACTACTTTTATAACTTCTGACCTTTTAGACGGTTGTTTGGGTTTCGTGGAAAATGATTGGATAATTGAGTATATAAGCTTTTTGCTTTGTGATTTATGGTTTGTTGTTCTTGTTTTTAACCAATGACATACCCAGAGGAAGATGTTGTAGGTTCCTGTCATACATGTAATTTGTCGGTTGTCTAACTCGATTTTCCTCCTCTTCGTAGGTTACAACGCTTGCATTTACCCAGGTGGCAGTACCTGAAAAGCAAAGGCTTCAGCTTGATGTCAGTTAATAAATTTTTAGGATAGAAGTAAACTAAAATGAACAAGCATCTATCCTTTGCCCTCGTTTATTTATAGCCTTTTATTTTTATATAGCTGTAATTGTAAAGGCATGCCAATTCTGATTTGTGTATAACTTTACCTTTTTAGTGTGGCAATTCACAATTCTGTTTCCCTTAATTCTTTATGAGCCCACCATCTCTCTCTTTCTCTTCTTTCTTTTCTAAATCTTATATTCTTTTGGGCATATTATTCCAATTTCCAAGTGTGATTCTGCTTGGGATATTAGTATAGGCTGTGGGACGAGCGCACAGTGCCACAATCGCACCAAGCACAAGGTGTAGCAATAATATTATAACTATATATTTTAAAAAGTATATAGTTATAATATTAATTTTTTTTTTCATAAATTTTTCAGTTAAATTAACCTATTTCTATCGGTCCAGTGTAGGTACTACCGTATCATTGTAGATTTTTTCCGATGGGACAGTGGCTGCACCATGTATTAATATTTGTTTCATGCGTCTATTTCCAGTTTTTCACAAACTCTTCTCTTTAATATGAAAAGTTTAATTAAATATTTTTATAATTTTTTTTATAAGGAATAAAAAATTAAAAACTTATAATAAGAGTTTTCTTTTTTTATTGTACATCACATTTTTTTCGAAGTCCTTATATTTATTTCCTGGTTATGCTCTAATTCTAAATTTGTATTATAAATTTTATCCTTTTATCCTAATAACAAATAATTTAATCTCCAAAACACCAAGAACATGACCAATAGAGTGTTTGTCCTAGATGAAGATTTTGCATGCTAGGCTGCCGTTGCTTCATGTATTTTAGATTAATTTTATATTAAACAAAAAAACTATGAACGGAGTTTTCAATAATGAGATTTTTCAACATTTATTTCCTTTTTGTTGTCTCCACCACAAAAAATTATGAGTGAAATTCTTAATTTATTTTTTCCTTTAAAATCTTTATCTTGAAAACCTTTGTTTTTTTTTTATTTCTTATGATATATGTGTTTATCTAAATAATAAAGATTTCTAATACCCTTCCTGATAATATTAATTAGAAACAAAGCTTATAGAAATTACTTTACCAAATGACTTATTTTTAACTTAGTTTTAAAATAAATTTTAAGTTAATTTTTTTTTTTTGGTAAACATAAGTTAACTTTTTTATTGTAATCACTACAATAACTTTCCTCTCTTTTATTTTTTAAGCTCTTACTTTTAATTTTAAGTTAAAAAGTAATTTTTAGTTAAAAATATCAACCTGACTCTTAATGGAAAATATTATATATATTTTTTTTGAATATAATAGTGGTACTGAGATTTAAACCTATAACTTTGTGTGAATTACCTACAGCCCTATCACTAGATCAATTCTACTGGCTTCACATTATTTATTAAAAAAAAAATTACTTTAACCTTTGAACGTCAATTGTTTGAAATCTTCATGAATCAAATGAGACCATGAAAATAATGTATGATAATCTATAGGGTTCAACATCTCTTATGTTGTAAGATATATAATTATTTTTTATATATATAAAAGTATATGAGATTCATATTTTTTCTTTCTCTTTCTTTTCTCATGGTCCTGTATGGGTCTCATACACTTTTATATGTGTGTAGAAAATAATATTATTATCTCCTTAAACATCAAACCCTAATCTATATTGGAGTGAAGAATTAAACATATGCTACTTACTAGTGTTATCATAAAAGCGCCGATACAAGTTAAGTTATAAGCAAGCGATTATTATTATTTTATTTTATTTGGTAAATAGATTATTACATTTGGGCCTTTAATGTTAAATTATCTATAAATTTTGCTTGTAAGTTATTGTTAAAGGGTTTTCGTTTTATCATTTAACATAACACAACAAACTTTCCTACTCTCACAATATTTTGTGGGGCCCACACTTTTTAAAACAAAAAAATAAATAAAAAATTAAGGCACGCAAAACGAATTTCTATAACATTACACAATCACTTTTCCTACAACATAACTCTTATAAAACCCATTGTTAAAACTTCAAACAGTATTTTAATTTTCTAATAAAAAAACATTTTACAGCTTAAACTTTTCCTTAAAAAGAAAAAAAGAAAGCACATCTCATTATTCCATATAGATGTTCTTTCAAATATGTAAGTATGTGACGACAAAACTGGATAAAACATTTTATGAGAATTTCTGGTGTAAACCAACTACATTGGGAACAAAATATATTTGGAAATTAAAATTATAATACTCTAATAACAAAGTGGATCCAGAAGTACAATAATCCATTGTCGTCCAGCGGTTAGGATATCTGGCTTTCACCCAGGAGACCCGGGTTCGATTCCCGGCAATGGAAATCTTTTTTTGATTATCTACTTTTGTTTTTCACATCCTTCTTCAGTCATGGGTTAAAAACTTTTTTCTTTTGATATTCAATTAATCCTCGCTATAGGTTCGAGTTTGACATTTTATGTGAAGGTTATTAGATCAAAACATATCAAGGATGTCACATGTTTAAAAATTAGAATCATTAAATTAATACAATATCAATGACTTTTAAATGAGATGTGAAACTTTTTATTTAATACTGATGTCAAATAATCTTGCAACAGATGAATTTATTACTTTTATTTGCAGCACTTGAAATAAATTTACACCAACTATAAATAGGGTTTGTATTTGATTAAATAAATTTGGTGCTTTCATTTGCATTACTAATGCTTTGAAGCAACCATCTCGATGTAGGGAGTGGTTACAATTTCTTTCTTTCTTTGATTATTATTTTAATTTATTATTATTTTGGTTTGGAAAAGAAGTGGTACACTAATACAATTATCATTTAAAAACACAAAACGGGGATGTGATTATCTGTTATTGTTGACTTGTTGTGCATGATATCCATAAAAAAAATGTTAACATGTAAATTATGTTTGGGGGATAAAAATTAGTCTTATAACACTAGAGTTACACCCAGTTTTTTTTTTTTTTTTGGATGATACACCCAGTTAAATTATAACTCATCAACTCACCTATTTTTGCATTTATATTATTTTTTCACACTTTCTTCATTTCTCAAGTAAATTTTCTTACTAAAATTAAAAATATTAAGTTACATGAATGGAGTAAATATAATTTGGTTAGTCATATGATTTTAAATTTATTGGTTGGTGCATTGATTTCTCAGCATTTATGGAGTCAAGAGGGGTAGATAGAGGACGATCACCCCTCCCAAATTCATATAAACATTTATCTCACACCCATTTCAAACTTGGGATATGTTATTCTACCTACACCCTTCTTGCCTACCTTTTGCCTACCCCTTTCATCACCGTTGGATCACAATCTAATCCAACGATTCATAATTGCGAAATAAAATAACCCTTTTTTTCTTTCTCTCTCCTCACTTCCTCCCACACATTTTCTCTCTCCTCCCCTTTCTCTCTTCCTCTGTGATCCGGACACATCCTTTTGATCTCTCGATACCTTTTTTTTTCCTTTATCTCTGATCTCTGCCGAAGTGAACGCGCGCGGAAGCATTATGCGATTTATCGACCACAACATTTGAAATTATAAACATAGGCAAATGAATCATTAAATAATAAGAACATGCTTGTTCGGCGTGCGTGCACTTGAGCTATCTATACAGTAGGACCGTGAAAGAAAAGGAAAAAGAGAAAGGCAGAGAGGTCATGTGAACAAAATCGACACGCTTCCATTTTTATTTTCGGAGATATCCACGATTTTTGTACGAACAAACTCATTCTCAAACAGTTGTTTATCTTCTTCAGTGTACAAATTCCCAACTTTTTCTGCTCCAATTCCCAATCTTTTTCAGTTCTAAAATTTTTCCACTATCTTACAACAATTCATCTAATTTCTTTCAATTTTGCTTGAAGAATCCCTGCGTAATCCCTGCGTTTTTGTTTCATGGGTTCGTTTTGGGAACCATAGAGCGCCATGACCAAACCCAACACTTTTTTTTAAAAATATCATAAAGCCCTTCAAATTCGGTTCCAATAGAGGTAAACCAACAAAATCTAACTCTTTTTTTAAATACCCTTTTCTGAGTTTATTTTCTTTGAATTTATTTCCTGGTTGCTGAATTTGTTGATTATATTAAGATTCTATGCTTCCTGGGTTCTTGTATCATCTCCAATTGGTGCCACGGTTCATGGATATTTTTATGGTATGGGTAGTTCGCAGAAGTTCGACTTTTCAGTCTCTCCTACTTCTACACATGAAGGTCGGTTGAATAAAAGTTTAGATCTTGTTGATAATAAACCATCCTCTGATCCACAATCTTCCACAATTTCGTCTGATCTCTCTAGTGATAGCAACATAGAACAAACTGAAACTAAATCAAATTCACCAGCGATGAAGGAAAAAAAAAAGGACAGCGTTGAGGAAGAGAGAAAGGGAAGGAGAGAGAAAGGATGTGGGAGGAAGTGAGGAGAGAGAAGGAAAAAAAAGGGTTATTTTATTTCGCAATTATGAATCGTTGGATTAGATTGTGATCCAACGGTGATGAAAGGGGTAGGCAAAAGGTAGGCAAGAAGGGAGTAGGTAGAATAACCTATCCCTTCAAACTTAGGAAAAAAAAAAACAATGTAACATAAGTTCGTTCCATCAAATCCAATTTTTGAATTTTTGTCCTTACTATTTTTTATATATGAAAAAAAACCCTTGAATTTTTTTTCTAAACCTTAATACGTATTGACCCGTTATGATATCCAATCTAAATCAGTGTCAATTTTGCTTCATTTACCCCATTCACATAAAATTTCTGGTTTTGCTATTGTTTCTCGTATTTGATTTTTTTTTCTATTTTAGTAAAAGAATATGTATGTAGTAGTAGTACTACACTATGTTACAATTTCACAAGTGCATGTATTAAAATGGAGGAAAGAATTACTAAAAATTTATTCATGGTTGGCAGTGACAGATGGAAAAGGGTGGCCCCGGCGGCGTCAGTAAATAATAACAGTACCTTACAATTGAACAATTCTTCTTCATCTAATCATCTATTCATCTTCATCTTCTATTCTGCACACAACACAATTACACAACAACCATGATTATTTATAGTTCTACTGTTCTACGCCCTAACTTTCACACCTTTCATGCAATCGAATATGTAGATTAGATCATCCTTTTTATTCACTGAACGACAAGAGTTGCACGCTAAGACCTAAACTAAAATGTCCGTAACGGAACTGAAGGAGCGTCACTTGGCGGCGACGGAGACGGTCAACAATCTCAGGGAGCGCTTGAAGCAGAGGCGACTTTCTTTGCTTGATACAGATAGTGAGTGCAAATCAAATCTTCAATTGTTGATTATTTTCCTCAAATTGTTCTTACTAGATCTATCTCAGTTACTGAACCCTTGTTTTTTCTCTCAGTTGCTGGCTACGCGAGCTCTCAAGGTAGAACTCCTGTCACCTTTGGACCTACCGATCTCGTTTGCTGTAGAACGCTCCAGGGTCACACAGGAAAGGTAATAATTTAATTCAATTCAATTCAATTCAATTCCTCTCTTTTATATCTGAATTCTAATGCTTAACGTGGTGAACTTTACACTTCATTGGATTACGGAAATTACCTTATCCAGCATTCATTTTGACTATTACTTACCGAACTTTTAATTTAGGCTCCTGTGTTAAGACTTATGCAGAACATTAGGAATTGAAAATGAAATAGGTGAGGGATTAATTGAGAGAACAAATCTCTACTGAATAATATAGGGGTAAAGCATTGCTGTTCTTGTTTTTCATAGTGAATTAATGTATTCGTTGTTATAATCGTAGTCTTTAATGTTTTCAAAAAATCTTGTATTGTATGTTTACACTACCACATGTTTTGTCAATAAATTTCATTGGAACCAAGGGAGAGCAGTGTGGTTAACTGCAGCAAAAGGCGCATGTAAAGTGACATGCATATTGGCACCATGGGTGCATCTTTTTGGTACAGACAATACACGGGTGCCTTATTGACTTCCATTAAAAAACTTATGAAGCATAGCCATCTGACTTGGTAACTGTAATGCTAAAGAGGGTACATTAGTCAGAATATTAGAAAAATTACAGTTTTCGGTCTTTGCACTCATTTAAGTCTGATCAATGATCACTTCTTGAGCTCAGGTTGTCATGGAGATCCTTTTAGTGACTTACTACATTTAACTATGCCTTTGCTTTGTGGTTCCAATCCTAAATATTAGCTGCAATGATTTGGCGCATATCAAAGCTAAATAATTTCAATTGATAGCAGGGAGAACTTTTGGTTTTTTTATTTACTACAGAGCAATATTGACAGTTCATATTAACTTTGTTTTCATTTGAATTTTGTAGGTGTACTCATTGGATTGGACGTCAGAAAAGAATCGAATTGTAAGCGCATCCCAAGACGGCCGATTAATAGTGTGGAATGCTCTAACAAGCCAGAAAACTCATGCCATAAAGCTTCCTTGTGCATGGGTCATGACCTGTGCTTTCTCACCTACTGGTCAATCTGTTGCATGCGGTGGCCTTGATAGTATTTGCTCTATTTTTAATCTTAATTCTCCCACTGACAGGGATGGGAATCTAACTGTTTCACGGATGCTTACTGGACATAAAGGTTATGTTTCCTCTTGTCAGTATGTTCCAGATGAAGACACTCATTTAATTACTGGTTCTGGTGATCAGACGTGCATATTGTGGGATATTACTACTGGCCTTAGAACATCTGTTTTTGGAGGTGAATTTCAGTCTGGACATACCGCAGACGTACTTAGGTATGTTGGGAGATTACTGAACTAAGTTGAGCTGATATTTGTTGCTTTTCATTTCTTAAACTGATAATTTGCCACTGAATGGTCGCTTCAGTTTTGAAAAAAGAAAAGCAACTGCATAAATGTCAGCTAATCTGTTTCCTACAATCTGCACACACACTGATAGGATTATGAAATCTCATTGGCCATCAGCATGCTATTTAAATGTTGAATCCATAGTGTCTTAATATAGAATGCCCCATCTCCCTCTCCAATTGCGAAAAATGTTTTATTAAGTTTCTAGCGTAATCTGTTGGATGATGTGCAGTTTAAGTTGTAGTGTTACCTAAAGCATGATTCAGTTCAGTATTGTTTGTTTAATATTGAATCTTTTCTAAGAAATATGTTTTTGCTTTGCCCACTCTCAGCATTTCTATTAATGGATCCAACTCTAGAATGTTTGTATCTGGTTCTTGTGATGCAACTGCCCGATTGTGGGACACTCGTGTGGCAAGTCGAGCAGTGCGGACATTCCATGGGCATGAGGGAGATGTTAATGCTGTCAAATTCTTTCCTGATGGAAATAGATTTGGAACTGGCTCAGATGATGGAACTTGCAGATTGTTTGACATTAGGACTGGGCACCAACTTCAAGTATATTATCAGCAGCACAGTGACAATGACATCGCGCATGTGACCTCCATCGCATTCTCTATATCTGGAAGACTTCTTTTTGCTGGATATACAAATGGGGATTGCTATGTTTGGGATACTTTATTGGCAAAGGTAATTGGTGCTTAAAAAAAAAAAAAACAGTAGGTTGCTTTCTTTTTTGCTCATAACCTCGTACCATGGTTAAAGTCAGCTTAGCTTTTTTAACAAAACATATGCTTCTTTACTATTGTTTATCTTTAGTGTGAACCATTTCACTAGTTTCTGGCATGGTAGTGAGGAACTGCCTTATATAGAAAAAGAAAAAATTATTTTATGGCATATACAAACACCAACTTTAATTTCTAATAGTAAATTATGTATTGGTTTCACGTCTGCATATGATTTGAGGATGAGTTATGGTTTCACTTTGTTTCTTGTGCAATATATTTTCAATATTTCAGCCTGTGTTGACCTTGTGGGAAGAGGGGCTCTGAGTCTATTCTACTTTGCAAAATCATAATAGGTTAATGACGCATTTATCTTGTGTATAGATTGGCTCACATAACTTTCTGATATTTTATTTTTATTGCAATGTCTTGATATGTGGAGCAAATATATTGCTTTACCTGTTACTTACTACTTCTAAGAACTGTAGTAGATGTCAAATTATTGGCTCCTTGAATTGGTTGTTGTGCATGAGTGCACGCGAGCGTTTTTTATTTTTTTATTTATAAAAAGGTAAGTCAATTAGGTCTGATTATCATGTCTGTCAGCATATTGGGTATTCTAGTTTGAAAGTTTTGGGCTCATTGTCTTAAGCCGTTACCTAACACATGACCTTGCTTTGGGGGCTAGTAAAAAAAGTTCATATGAACCTTTAGAAGTGATTGATTGAGAATTTTTCTTTTTTTGGAAATTGTAATAGAAGGGAGGCTGAAAAGCGGTGGGAATTCCAACTTAGACTAATATGTTTGTGCAGACTGGAATAATATGAAGTGCCAGACTTGGCAAACGTATCATATATTTTTTGTTAGAAAGACAGCTGACAAATAACAAATTTCAATTCCCTCTTATAACATCTAGTCATACCTTATCTTTTTAGACACTGTTTTTGCCTTGCCTTAATTCGTACTTGTTCATGTACTTGTGTCTAGTGCAACTTCTGTGACCAATGTTTGTCGTTTCATTGTTTCATTGTAGGTAGTCTTGAATTTAGGATCTCTCCAAAACTCTCATGAGGGCAAGATCAGCTGTTTAGGTTTGTCAGCTGATGGAAGTGCTTTGTGTACAGGAAGTTGGGACACAAACTTAAAGGTGAGCATGCATTTTGGCCTGATTCAGAAACTTATAGGTTATGTGTGACACATAAGATAGGAGGGATACCAATTTTGGAAGTTAGCTTCTATGTGACTATGTTTGTTGATGCTTATTTATGTTTAAGTCGCTACGATGATTGTAGTATTGAACTTAAAAGAATTTTAGGCTCTCATTTATATTTGTTTTATTGGATTATATTTTATAAGCTTTCAATTTTTCTAAGCTTAAAACACAGATCCCCAAAGAGCTTATAGAGGTTTAACATGTACGAAGTTGAACTTCAAAACATAATTCCTTTAGGATTGTAAGGACCTGACATACATAAAAGAGACTTCTGGACATAATACTGGGATTTATTCTTAGGCAGTGGTAACATCCTTGGTGAGCAAGACCATGTTCTGATGTTCTGATATTGGAATTACATTTTTTATCGTACTGTGAGCTTATTTGACATAATTACTTGCTTCTTGCAGATATGGGCATTTGGCGGGCATAGGAGGGTGCTTTGATCCACCAAGGGGGCAAAGACTTTTACTCTGACTTCCTTTGTCAGGGTCACTCCTTGCATGGTATTGTGGTTCATCATGAACTGGTAATGATGCTTGTTATGGTGAATTTGGAGGAAGAATTGGAAGTCAAGGTTATATAACCTTTAGCGATGGAACTAGTGCAGCAGTTTGTTCTTCCTGGTGCCCATTGGTTCGTGTGTGATCTAGTAGTTTATCCATTGTACTGACCGCTTCATGCCTATACCTTAAACCAGAATGAAGGATTATTTACTTTCTCATCTCCATTTAACTTTTTGACGATGTTAGAATTCATAAGATCTACGTCACTTGCCTCAAACCGTGCTGTAAGGAATGGAGTGACGGACAAAATGGGGTTAATTTAAAGTGAGATTTGCTAATGTCAAGGAATTACAAGAGTGAAAGACCTGGTCTCCTTAAAAATCGAACTTGAATAAAATGAATGAGATGATGAATTTTGTCTAAAATATTTATACATGAGAAATTACCAAGACAGAATCATTTTTTGAAGTTTGGTTAAACAATCTAGGATACCTGAAGGGAAAAATAAAACCGTCTTTCTCTCGTAACATTCAATCAATTTGAATTAGTAATTTATACTACGGTCTGCTATTTGTCCTATAAATGTAGTATGATCTACTAAAAAAAATGTATTATGGAAGGATGTCGCTAGCTGACCTCCCGCTGAAGATCAACTGCACATAACGAAACATGAGGGATCTTTTTGACACCTGCATCTTCCACTCATTTGATACCTGCTCTCGAATCAATCGAATCCTTTCAGTTCACTCCCTGTCATAAATGGACTCAACCCTTGTTGCTTTAATATCATCGGAGCTTGTGCTGGCCATATCGCAAGACCTCTCCAAAACAACAGTAATGCAAAAACGTTTGAGGAATATGATGAACTTTTACGGTCCTAAATTCGTAACAACTATTGATATTATGCTGGACAACACTTGAGGGCGAGAATCTGTTGGGTGACTTGGATCTCCAGCCGTAGATTTGTATTTCAGAGGAATACTTTATGAATAAACAAGAGTCATGACATATGACACCTTCAGAGCTAATCGAAGTGGCACAGAGACTACATAGTATTTACTATTTCACTTCTGCCATTTGGCAACGGAATTCCATGCTTCTCCTCTGGTACTCTAAAGGCAAACTCAATTCTTATTAGGGTGACAATACGTGCCAATGTTTTAGAAGAAAAATAATTCGTCGTTCTCTTTGATTTTATAATTATTTTAAACTTTTGGCAGAATTGAAAGCTCATATACTACATAGAATTTTGGGTTGACCTACCTCTTCAAGGAACACCGACCAAAATGTCACTATTTACCAAGTTTTTTACCTAAATGCCACACGAACAATGTTATTTCCCAATATGCCACGAGAACAAGTTCGCTACCCGGTGTAACGAACTCGGTTTGCTGACGTGTCACATTTCTAGTGGATAACAAGTACCAAATTAAAAAAAAGTATGGAGTTCGCTACATTGGGTAGCGAACTTGGTGTCCACTAGAAACGTGACACGTCAGCAAACCGAGTTCGCTACACCGGATAGCAAATTTGACCCCGTGGCAGATTGGAAAATAACACTGTTCGCGTGACATTTAAGTAAAAAACTTAATGAACAGTGACATTTTAGTCACTGTTCCCCTCTTCAACTTATGCGCGTGAACTTGTTTCCATTCACTGGCTTTGTTATGTCAGTTAATGTCATAAATTCCGTTTTCTTTTCAAATCCTTTCTCATGACGAGAAAGGAGAGATCGGAATCAACATTCTCACTTCCTTCAAAAGTAACTGAATTGGCTGACAAGTTCCCATACGACAACTATATCAATCATAAAAACTTGCTTACCTTTGTTGAACCAGATAATTACACATATTCAAATCCTTACTGCTATCCACATGCCATTGCGCATGAGCTGGTACCCTGATAGTGGCAAATAGACCCTCTCAAGTTAATTTCGCTTTTTGCTATGCCACCATTCTTTTGAGGAATGGAATTACGGATATTCCCATAAAGTTTGCATGAAACACTGGGAAAATAGTACAAGACCACAACAAGCTGACAAGAAAACAAGTACTAAGAAGTATCACTCCAATGTCCATAATAGAGCTGCGTGTCCTGTAGCTTATTTGACAAACTACTGAAAGCCTGGAGATGTATAGACAGTAGAAACAGAAATGATACTAAGCTAAATGCTTAAAGCACAAGCAACATAGATACACAGACACCCAAAATTTAATACAACGATATAATATTATAAGCCAAGTTTATGGTAGAACCATAGATCAGTATCAACTCAACGTCAGACAAATCAAAGATAAATATTATGAGAAGTGTTGTGTCCTTTACTCCTTCCCATAGCTCTGTTAGTTGAAACCATCAATCACCACCCACTTGCCTCTTCCAGGAGTCTTCCACAATCAGTTCATCAACTCCCCAATCTTCATAGCTGGACAATTTTGCCAAAAATGATAACAATGAGAAATACATAAAGGAATGAATCAGCTTTAAACTCCCCCAGCCAAGAAAAAAAGAAAAAGAAATGCCCAACTTATATAACAGGCAGCATTTACCTTCCATCAGGCAAGTAGCGACGGATGGTAAAGGGTATCTTCCGCTCTCGAAGCTCCTTCATAGCAATCTGTTCAGTTGGGAGAACAAGATATCACATATAAATTCTATGTACAATTGTATCCAAAAAATAAAAAAATAAAAAATTCTATGTACAATTTGAAATAAAATGGAAAGCTATTGCTATCACATAACTGATACAAATAAAAATAAAAATTGACACTGGCATACCAAGTTTGGCAATGAAATATTCACAATGTGCTTAAATGCAGTAACATTACAAGACAGAACAAAAGGTTGAATTACCTCAAGTGGGTCAGTTTCTCCCTCCAACTCGACCATAACAGGTGCATTCATACTGTTAAGGCAAAAAGGTAACATGTTATAGCATCACATAACAAATAATGAATAAGCAGAACCTTACTTAACACCTTAGATTGAGAAGTAAAACAAACCTAATTTGAAGAGCACGGGTACCCAAAATCCTAGCACGCTCATACTTAGTCATAAATTTGGATGTCTTTCGAGGCCGCACTACTGGTTGTTCATCTTCCCTTTCCTCAGTGTCGAGAGGTTCTCCCTCTCCATTTACCTCTTCATTTTTGTTATTTTCCAAATCTTCCTCTGCGCCTTCCTGTAATTCATTCAATGCTAAATTCCATAACCAAAAAACACAAGGACAAAAGAAAGAGAGAGAATTTTCCGTACCTCAATCTCAGGCTCTGGTGGCTCCTCTTCATACCTGCATCACCATCAAAACTTATACGATTATCGTCGTGAGGGTTTCTATTATATAAATTGTAAGAGAGAGAGAGAGAGAGAGAGAGAGAGAGAGAGAGAACCCCATGTCGACATCATCGAAGTCGTCGTCGGCCATCGTGAATCGCGGGTACCCTGTCTCTAAGCTTAAGCCTGCGGTGAATGCCCTAAACCTCACACCCACACAGAACAAAATAATCGTATCAGAAACTTCGATTATAATATATAATCGTTTTCTATTTTGTTTCCTCTCCGTCAAGGCTACCCTCGTGTTAGGAGTGTGGTCCTCACCGCCAAGGCTCTCATGGGATTATTATTTAGAGTAAAAATCTTTTTTGGTTCCTGGCAATATTGACGAAATCTTTTTTAGTCCTGGCAATAAAAAAGGACCAAATTGATCCCTAAAATTATGAAAAAAAGGCCACGTTAGTCCTTCTGTCAACTCTTCCGTCACGGTCAAACTAACGGTGCTCATGTGGCACGTTATCTGCTGACGCGGACTGGACGGTTGACACGTTGGAACGCTGAACGACGACGTTTTGAAGCAAATGGGTTGCAAAGCTTTCCATGGAGAGCACGACGTCATTTTACTTGAACCTTATTAATTGAAAAAACCCCAATAATGAACCCTAATAATTGAAGAAACCCCAAATGCCTTCAACCGAACCCTAAACCGGAAACTCCATCCCCCAAATTGATGACCAAATCCCTAAACAGCAATACGCCCCCAAAATGTTTGCACTTTGATGATTGAAACTCGACGAATAACATTCAGCCCTCAACCGGATTTCTGGGTGTGGGAGAAGATGAGTGTTTCTTCTAGCATGGGGGGATCAAGTGAGAGTAAATCAATGGGGGGAAGAACAATGGCAAGGACCACCGGTTGGAGGTGCAAATGTGAGAGACAAAGTATTTTCTATACCTCCAAAACTGAGAGGAACCCAAACAGGGCTTTCCTTGGTTGTCCTAATTTCAAGGTATGAATTTGTAATCTGCCCCTTTATTGAGTTGGAACACTTGCTAACGGTGGTGTTTATTTTTTGCAGGAGAAGAAGCCCTATTGTGATTTTTTTAGATGGGTAGATGACATGTGTAATGAACCCATAGAGCTGGAAGAAGCAAGAATTCACACTGTGGAGTTGGATGTTGCTGAAATTAACTTCAAGTTGAAGTATGTGGAGATGATGATGAGAGAGCAAGATGTGAAGATTACTGAGCAAGGAATGAAGCTTCATCAGCAGGAAAGAAAACTGAATGATGTATACCTGAAGATGGTGGAGGAGTTAGATAGGATGGACAAAAAAATTAGGACAGTTGATAGGTCAGCTAGGGTCTTAGGTGCTTGTGTTGGTGTGATCATGATATGTATGTTTGTTGTTAGTGTGGTAAAAGTGAAAACAAGTGACCCAAATGTATTTTTCCTTCAGTGAATTGTAATGAATACTCCTTCTTTATGTTATACAAATTATGTGTTAGTTCCAATCTGTTTGTGTGTATTATCATATGGCCTATTATAAAAAAGCCTTGAATGTATTCCTCTTTTTTATTATGGCATCATATATTTGTGCCTTGGTGAAATGTTGTACTGGATGCTAAGTTTCTGTTAGTATGGACTATTGCATAGTTAGGCATCGATTGAAGGATCAAAGATTACTACATTGTATCACAAACAGATTTAGATTGCTACTGATAGAGGTGCATAACTCATGAATTGCTTATACAGAATTTGCATACTGTTATGCATATTTTGTTACTGATTGCAAAACACGAGGGCCATTTAGGTCCCTGACAATGTTACTCGCGGGCCATTATGGTCCCTGACAAAATGCACAGGGCACTTATTGGTCCCTGACCACAGAAAGATAGGACAAGAGGGATTGATGTCCAAATCAACAAAATGCCGCACTCATTTTAAAAAATGGTAGTGCATTAGGTCAGATACAGGTGCCTGACTTGTATGCTTTTGAATGCAGTCCAAAACAACAAAACAGAAATGCATTATATTAGAAATGCATTACGTTGGGGTCCAAGTTGGTCCCTCACAATGAGTGTCGGGGTCCTAATTGGTCCCTGCAACCAGGAAAATAAGGCATGATCTGTTTAATGGTCCCTGCAAACAGTAACACAGCACAAACTTGCAACATTTCTATTTCTATTTCTATTTCTATTTCTATTTTGGCATGACCAGTAACCACAACATATGGCCAGCAAAAACCAGTAACCAGAAAATATCCTTGCTAATTGACCAACCTGACCAGAAACCTGCACCAGAAAATGACCAACAACAAGCTAACTCTCTTAAAAAACATAAGAACCAGAATAGTTTGCATATGACATAAAGCCTGTGAACCAAAATAAATTGCACTTAACATGCATGTCTAGAATATAACCAGTTACATATAATTGTCTTCCTAGAACTAGAAAACAGTAGTGCATTACAAATAAAAGCAACTAATAGGAATCTTAAGTGAGGATTATAAATACACTTTGGCCAAGCATAAAAAAAATTACATTAGAACTGTATAAGGCCTCCAAAAACAATTGGCCAGAATTTACAAAAAAATCCCATTATATCCACTCCTTGTCAGTTAGCTCATGCACTACTCCTTTGTTCTTCTTCATTAGCAGCTCATTTTCTTGAGGATCGCCTTGGTGGCCTGAAACCAGGGGTTGTCATGAAGTGCATAAATCTGCTTCGTGTGCCACTGCTTGCTGCCTTCATTGTCTCTTCACTCAACACTGCATTTGTTTCTTCTGGATTTGAAGGTGGTGGGCTGCCTCCTCTCAAGTTGCCATGATGTGGCTGAGAACTACCAACTTCTGAAGGACCTCCTTAACTTAATGGGATTTCATCTACTGAGTCAGTGCCAATCCTCACAGATTATGGTCTTGCTTGCATTTTATCTGTTTTGGAAGCTGGTGGCCCCTTACAACTCTTGGCATAGTGTCCAGTCTGACCACATTTAGTACACTTGGCTTCATATGTCCTTTTGACTTTCTTTGTCATGCTCTCTTGGTCTTCAGTTGGGTCCTTCTTCCTGTGTTTCTTGGGACGCCCAATTGGCCTTTTAAGTTTTGGTGGAAGAGGTTTGGGTTCATCAGATGCAGGCCAATACTTGTCCGAATTCACTGGGTTTAAGGTGTGCTCATATGTAGCATGCAATCCATCCACTGTAAGTCATTGATGGACATAGTTCTTGGCTGGCTCGTTTTTGTGACAAATGGCTGCTATAGCATGCTCACAAGGCAGTCCAGTCAACTACCATGCATTGCATGCACATGTATGTGTTGTTAAATTGACTCTAACTCTATCACATTTCCCACTGACCTCATACATATCTTGCTGCAGATTTCCAGTCCAAGTGGGTGTCCATGAATTGCTAAGTACCTTTAACTGATCCAGTTTCTTTTGCTGAGCAGGAGCAATTTTACAACAAGATAAATCATTTGCATATATAAATCAAGAAGGGAATGTTAACACACAAGGCTGTAAATTGCAACAACAAAAAATCTCATTTACAATAAATTCATATTTACAATAAATTATGCGAACATCAGGGTCCACAAAGCAATTTAAAAATGGCAATAACCATATACATCAAACTCATCACTGCCGTGTAACCATACAAGCCAGTAACTTGGAAAAAAATTTCACCTTTACAAATTATGCATGCACTAAAAAATTGGGGACCACAATGCACTAAAAAATGGCAATAAACTTTACAAACCGGTAGTGAGGGGGACCACATACATAAATGGGTATTTTTTTTTGTAAACCCTAACCATAATAACACACGATGGAGGGGACATGGGGGACCATCATCCAACAGATAATAGACAACATGAGGTGAGGGGGGACCACAAATATTGAAGATTTTCTAAAAAAACACTTATCTTACTGCATGTAAGAAAACTAGCAGACTCGAACTTCCCTTCACCACCACAGAACCAGCCTTTCGACAACCTTCAAAGTCCACGCTCGATTGCCTTCCCTGCAACCACCGTCTTCGACAACCCTCACCGTTCAACGAAGCTTCCAGTGGAGGTCAACAATGGTCTTCCAATAATATGCAATAACTTAGTGAAAATATGAACGACTCTCCACGGTTAGTGTTCATGCCTCTTGTTTTCTCAAACATAAAACGACGTTGTGTGGTCCTTTTGAAAGCTATTTACTCATTTGCTTCAAAACGTCGTCGTTCAGCGTTCCAACGTGTCAACCGTCCAGTCCGCGTCAGCAGATAACGTGCCACATGGGCACCGTTAGTTTGACCGTGACGGAAGAGTTGACAGAAGGACTAACGTGGCCCTTTTTTCATAATTTTAGGGACCAATTTGGTCCTTTTTATTGCCAGGGACTAAAAAGGATTTCGTCAATATTGTCAAGGACCAAAAAGGGTGTTTACTCTATTATTTATAAACCTTGGATTAGGATTTTAAACGATTGTTGTAAGATAAATTTTTTTATAGATTTTAAAAGACTATTTAGAAATTGAAGGGACTTTAAAGTCTTTTTTAAAAGACTTTTCTTACAATTGAGATTTCATAAGATTAGATTTTAAAGGATTTTATTAGAATTTATAAAATTTGAAAGGACAATATGGATTTATAAGATTTTAAAAAATCATATGAATTTTTAACAAACATTCAAAATTACAAGAGTCAATAAAAAAGGGAAGGTTATACTTACAACCTATTTTTATTTACAATCATATCTTAACCATTGATTTCCGTCAATCAACGGTTATCATTATTGTGAATTAAATATTAATTAATGAGTTTGATTTGCGAAAGTAATAACCGTTGATTGACGGAAATCAACGGTTAAGATATGGTTTGTAAACAAAAATAAGTTGTAAGTAGGGGTGAAACTGGGGCGGGCCGGCCTACAGGGGCCTATGGCTCGGCCTACATCAGGCTAGACCTGACCTAGTATATTTTGTATAATAGGCCAGGCTCGGGCCTTAAAAAAGCCTGTTTAATAAAGAGGCCGTAGGCCCACTTTCAAAAGGTCGAGCCTATAAGCCTACGGGCCGGCCTATATTGTACTATTTATTTTAAATAAAATAGAGTAAGTATGCCTTGAAGAAAAAATAAAGATATAAATTTAATCAATTGCAATTATTTATAACTTAATCATATTCGATTATATTTTAATAGAAATCTCACTTTATTTCTTAAATAGGAGGAACCAACATCTCAACATGTTAGATTGTGTATATGAATATATTAAAAAAA